ACACACACAACGTCCACTAAAAACACATCGGCTGGACAGCCGCAACTGAGCTGTGTGAGCCCAGTTGGTTGATTTATGAGGCAATGGCGACCTCTTGTGGACGGACTCAGGGCGACATGCATGGGATCAGAGAGATTTGCTCTCTATGTTGCCGCTGGCAGATATATAAATCTGCACGAATTCATTTGATTCGTTTATTAAATGTGTTGTTTAGTAATGTGTGTGTTTTGTGTTGGGAAACACTGGGGCCGAAGCCTTTAATAACTGGGTGAGGGGAACCAAGTGCGTGCGGTGTGGTAACACTGCTATGTACTTTTCCTCACGACAGCCCCCTCCCCCGTAACTTGTTGTTGGGGGGGTGGGAGGGGGACACACACACACAACGTCCACTAACATACGGGCTGGGCAGCCACGAGAGGGGATTAACCGACCGTAGGTGGGAGACCCTGTTAGTTAACGTTACTCCCAATGGTCGAACAACAGGCAGGCCGCTTGCGTTCGGGACCGCCTTCCTAGGAAGGCATAAATTGAAAACCTCAACACGTAATCGTAACAAATCAAGGCCCGTGAGACCGTGTTAACAGTCTAGCGGGACGCTCCAGCCGTTCAGACTGGGCGGTGGTCCCAGCGTTTACCCGTCGTACATATTCCTATCCTGGTCGGTGGCGCTCTGTGGAGCTGGCCACACAATGTTGAGACGAACGGCCGCTCGCTCACAAACTTCCAGGAGGATGGACGGAGGCAAAGCCGCGTGAACGCTAGCCTAGGGAACGCTAAAAGGACCGCGTCATCCCCGTCGCCGGAACCGACCGGTTCGTCAGCGAGAGTGAGGTTTTCCCGTGAAGATGTCCTCTTCAGGGAATGCGGATTGGGCTGATGTCAGCTCAAATATTTTAGAGAGGTGGCGCTCCGGGAGTCCCCCGGTAGCGCGTCATCATCACCGTGTCTCTCCTCCGAGTCAGAAAGGCCGAGCACGGCGCGCTGTGTCGTGCAACTAAAAGCCGGCTTAGTAAAAGCTACATGGGCAGCAATTACAATGACCGCAATTCCCCGGGTTCTCCAAAGCTTGAGCGTGTTAAGCCCAAGTAGACCGCGCAGAACGAGAGGGTCCTTATAGCGGCGATGAGAGCACCACACGCGGCCGGGCAGGCTCGTCGTGATAGGCTGTTCCCCGGGGGAAGCGGCTGTTTAGACGGTCACATAGCCATGGGTGGGCCAGCGGTGAAGAACTCGGAAAAATCCGTGGCGGGCAGCCATGTAAAGGAGGAGCAGGTGAAGGACAGCGAGAGCTCGGGCGGCTCCGGATGCAAAAAACACAGCGGATAGGCTGAAGAAACGACTGTCACTCACGTCTGGCGGAGGCTGATCTGGCGATATGTCCTCCTGAAGACTCGAAAGTGAGCAGCGTAACGTTAATCCAACCGAACTGTGTCAATGCAGAGATCGCGAGAAGCGAATGTCAACTGAGGAATAGCAGCGCGCCCAGCTGTGATATGCCCGTAGGTAAGGGGGTGTGGCCTCACCTGGCATTGGCTGCGCGCTTCTGTCTGTTAGCCAGACTTGGTGCAATTGGATGCTTCTGCAGAGGTCAGGTACGGATGCCCTTCCCATAGGTGGATCTCGAAACGAGATGATGAAAGAGAACCATCGGGCGCGCTGCAAAATTGCGGACGCCGGTGACGTCACGATCTCAGAAGAAAATTGCTCGTATCTCTGGAACGCAAAGACCCAGAGAGCTCAAATTCGGGGGAGGAGGTCCCAGGGGAACCCTTGCCCGAACGCTAGAGTGGCGGGCCTCGGGGATGCCCCCTACCGGATCGCCGTTCGCTGGGACCCCCGATTTCGAACGGCTATAACTCGGGGAGCCGGGCGAGTTGGACCTCGGGGGTGGGCTCGTTCGAAAGGCCCCATCCAGCACTACGAACGATTAGAGTCTTGGGAATATTGATCAAAGATTGACTGAGATATAAGCCGAAAAACGTGCGCCTTTACCCGGACGTAACTCCCTGACCGTCTACAATAGACTGTATATAAGGAGAGAGGCTCGGGAGCGCGCATGCACGTCACATCCGTTGGATTTCGCGGTAAATCCGACCGGGAGACTTCACATAGAAATAGGAATACTGGCCTTCAGAGAGGTAATAGCAAAAGCTGACAAGTGGATCATTGTAATGTGTGATTACAACCCCTTCACACACAGGCAATAAAAAAAGGATTCATTTTAGAAGAAAAGTTCCATATAGCACCTTTAATAGACAGTTGCTGTGGGGATCTGGGTGGTTGCCAGGGTGTTGCTAGGTAGTAGTTAAGGAGTTTCCCTTAGTGGATGCTAGGAAGTTCTGGGTTATTGCTTGGACATTGGCTGTTGGTTACATGTGTTTAAATGTGGTATACTTGCTTACTCCATACAAGTACATATTTCACCATCATTAGCACAGGTTACACTTTTCATACATTATTGTCTGTAATGAAGTCGTTTGACATGTGTAATGTTTCAGGTTGATCTCGTGGACGGGCCGTAAGATTGATCCGGTGGGGGTGGACTACATTTTGCAGAAGCTGGGTTTCCACCATGCCAGGACTACAATTCCCAAGTGGCTGCAGAGAGGAGTGATGGACCCTCTGGATAAAGTTCTGTCCGTTCTCATTAAGAAACTTGGCACGGCATTGCAGGATGAGAAAGAGAAGAAAGGTCAAAGAGACAAAGATGAGCATTAACTCAGACACTTCAATGTATTAATACATTTCCGCTATCAGGAGCCATCTGTGTGAATTTTTTTTTTTTTTTTTTTTTACCTTGTCTGAAACCACTGGATTTATTGCAAACTACTGTACAGCACTCACAAACGCATCACAGCCATTGCTATACTGTGTGAACATTAATGTTTGCCCTGGTTCATATGGCTATAGCTCTTGGGTGACTGAAAGTGTTTTGTTTTGTTTTTTGTACATGTGAATTTTCAGATCAAGTAAAGATTGGATGGCTGCTGCTGAATGCCATTTGGACTTTTAACATGGATTAAACGCACTTACACGTTGCTGACATTAACAGATGAGCAGTGATATTAAGCTACAGTATACGAGTGTGCTCTTGAAATCAGTTTACATGAGTTCAGAGGAGCGAAAAGCATCCTGTGTTCTTTCTCTTGAGGTGAATATACTGCTGAATATTGCCAATCAGACTTTTTAAGTAGTTTTATTTAACATTTTAAGAGCAAACAATACAGTTAACCGCTGACCAGGTGGTAAAGTGTTCTTTCAGCCAGCAGAGGAAGCGTGAACATCCCTATGCCTAATTATTCCTTTGAGAGTGACCAAATTTTATGCCTGATAACACATTTTGAGGGATGATATAGTGGAGATGCCTCAGATATTCCTGTGAATACATCAGAACCTCAGATTGTGCTGTGTAATGTGAACTGGCCTATAAAGCAAGGCTCTAACTTAAATAGACAAACAAAATGTAAATATCTTAAATGCATAAGCTGTTACCCATGTTAGGCCTGTGGTGATAGTGTTTTTCCTTTTTTTTTTTTTCATAAGTGCAATAGACCATTATGTACAGAGGTAAATATGTTCAATGTGCTGATTTCTTAACTGAATAAAATCATTACTACTAAAATGAATGATACTTGTTAGTGACACTTTTTTCTTCTTCCACATTATACTTCACTGATTTGTAAACTAAGATGAGTTTTGTTCATTCGTTGCTGTGGTAATGGAAGGTTGCCTTAGGGAACAACATTGTGCTACACAGATGTAATGGTTTATTTTGATAGTCCATTTCCTTAGTATGTGTACAATGAAGATTGAACATTTCCTTTATGAATGGAGCATGTTCAGAATTGTATATTTTAAGTTGCTGTTTTTGCAGTATCTATATACATTGTGTACTGTATGTGTACAATACCTGGATGAGCACACTAAACAGAATGCTGTATCCCATAGTGCAATGTGCTCTACTTGCAGTGTTAACTTAAGCTATTAAAATAGTTTTTGTTCATTAAAATAAAGCTGAAATAAAACATTAGATTTAAAAAATGTAAATAATTTATAGATGCTGCCTTGGCAACTAACTGAAATCAAGTTTAGGCACTGCAATTAAAACTGAAAAACAAAGCTAAATAGAAATTTACAAAAAATAAAAAACGCAAACAATAAATCTATTTCAAAATAGTAATATACCTAATCTATAAATACTAAAATAACTAGCTACCCGATCTTTTATTTCCAGTGATTGATGTACTACAATTGCAGCTATGATTTTAAACATTATTTTATGACTCGTATGTTAGACAAAGATCTAGACTACGTTGAATGATGACAAACTGGATGACGCCACATGCAATGTGATAATGTAGCATACTACTCTTTGAAATGTTTATTGCCTAATACCAACGGTTTTTATTAATAAATAAATAAATAAATGGGGGGAAAAGTGAGCAGAATACATAAGTAATATGCTACAATTTCATTCATAACTGGGCCTAAGCAACAATGTACTAGCACGTTACAATTCCACACATAACCACTGCGTGGCGCACTTCATGTTCAAAAGTTTCAGTTCAGCACTTAAATGGATGATTATAGACTTCTCAGAACTAATGAGGGGTTCATTTACACTCGGATCGTCCTCTCCTTTTGTATGCACTTTTAAGTGTAATGGTTTCACAAATCCAGATTTTTGTAAAAGTGAAGCTGCAGTAGGGAAGATTTGTTTAAAATGGTCGGAGACTGCCTGATGAATTGTGGTAATTACGAGATGAATTTCGGCTCCGTGGTAACAGGCAATCATTTTAACAGATCGACTGTCACTAACGCCAAAACTTGCCACAGTGAAGGGTAATGCAATTTGTTTACTTGCTCAGTTTTTGCTCTTAAAAAACAGCATACTGCAGCTTTAACAAACCACAAACAGAAACGGGAATTGAAGTTAGAAAATGACTTTGAAAATGAATGAACTTAAATGTAAATTAAATAAATAAAAATCACACCACAACTGCTTGAAACAGCTTTATTTCTCGTAAGTATCACAAGAAGCCCGTCATGATTCGCCGTTTTAAAACTCTGAATAGGTAGATTTAACACCCTAAGGTCCTGGTTACTCAAACTCAAAAATGAGCTACAAAAATGAACCAAGCTATATATAATAAACAAAAAATTGTGCTGCTCTATAGTTATATGAACTGACTCTAAAAATGTAATTCAAGGGCTACCCATAGTGTCTTATTTAAAGATACCACTTGTTAAAACAAAAACTTCTGGCACCTGTTACTAACAATAAATCCAGTATTATTATAATTTTGGTCTTTCATATACATTTCCATATACATATCTACTGTTTTAAAAAAAAAAAAGAGAAAAAACTATGCCAAGATTCATAACGGCGTAAAAAAGGTTTCAAGTTTGGCGTCCGTAATGCTGTTTATTTGAGGTGTTTAGTCTGTCGGCTCTGTCGTCTATTTGGCAGTGCATGCACACACACACACGAGTGGAACATGAGGAGGCAGTGTGAGTGAAGGGAGACCTGATTCGGTAGCTCTGAGGAGCTCTACAGTGTTAACACGCTTCCCTGATCAGACACATACAGTGCTTTCAGCTTGGCAGAACAGTCACACGACGTCAAGATCACTGAATCATTTGGGGCAGGAGCTGAGGAGGTCGTCGGGATTAGTGGGAGGAAAGGCAGGTTCCATAGTTCGATATCCCACTACACGTCAGTGGTCTTTCTGGACCTCTTCTTGAGAGGTGCTTTGCTGCTGGTTTTGGCCTCTGTTCTGCGCCTGTATTTGCGTGGTTTGGTGGATGAGGGTACTTCAGCGCTGTGCTCCAGTGGGGGCTCTGCCTGAGGGCGGGTATCGGAGTCTTCATGTTCCTGGCAGCAGAGCTGGCCCACGAGCGGGTGAGACCGCAGCGCCCCCTCCTGGTGAGCCTTGCAAAAAGAGTTAGGGCATAACTGGCAGAAAGCATCGGAGTTCTTTCCACACACGTCACAGTGATGCCAGGGACAGTCCCAGCGACCTGGAAGAAAACAGATCACAAATGTAAAAGTCGTCAATGGATAAATTTTAAAAAAAGGGACAGAAGACAATTAAAGCCTATTAAATGTTACAAATAGGGGTGTAACGGTACACAAAAATCACGGTTCGGTACGTACCTCGGTTTTAAAGTCACGGTTCGGTACGTTTTCGATACAGCAAAAAGTAAGAAATGCCAGAGAAATTTCCTATTTGTTAAAAGAAAAAATATTTTTTAAATAAGTGAGTTTTCCTACATCTTGAAACTTTCAGGTTTATAAATGGGGGTCATCTTTGAAGGATGAACAAATAATGTTTTGGTCATCACATTAAAAATAACATTTAAATATATGAAGAGTTTAGATGCAAAAGCCATTTGAAATTTTCTTCTAGAATGATCATTTTTATCAAGCTTGTATATTTAAGTTCAGTAATTTCACTTAAATGGCAATGAAGATGACCTATTTATTGTCATTTGAGTGAAATTACTGAACTTAAATATACAAGCTTCATAAAAATGATCATTCTAGAAAAAAATTTCAAATGGCACTTATAGAGGCTTTTGCATCTGAACTCTTCATATAGGCTATTTATTTATATAATATTTGAGTTTTGAAGTGCTGGAAAAAGATGTGTGGAGTACTTGAAAGCATTTCACTATTCCAGCCAAACTGGTTACAGTTAGTGTTAGCCTACTATATTAAATCCATGGTGAATGTTGCTGGTCTGTGGACGTAAAGTATTACTAGTTCATTCACGGCACAATATTTCTCCTGGTGTCCACGTCAGCGCTGTTTGATCTAACAGAGATCTACGGTTAATAACGGAGAAATTTGAATGCTTCTCACTAGATCTCGCAGCGATGTTATTACTTCAGTGGCGAACTCAAATGTTTTCTTTACTGGATCTCTTAGCGCTGTGTTGTAACAGTTGTAACAGTGTCGCTTGATCGAGATCGGCTCCCGCTGCACAAATGTTGCTGCTCCGAACTGATAAACGATCCGTGAAGCACAATGGCGCAGTTTCGTTCCGCTTTCATTACGTTTGCCATTTGATGTTGCGCAACGTTGTGGTGATCGCACCAGCGCGAATTTTGTCGGGCAGGAAAAATGGTCCAAGGAATCGTTCGGTTTGTATGCGTACCGAACCGGAAGCCTCGAACCGAAACGGTTCAATACGTATACATGTACCGTTACACCCCTAGTTACAAATAATGGCTTTCAATTATACTGCAATGTTTAATAGCTATAATGGCTAAAGTTGTGGGAGGAAAAAAACATTTAATAGAGACCTCATTAGCAGCAGTATTGGTATCAGTGATAGGATGCCATTAAACAAATATTTTAAACCGTCTTTGTTGTATCCACATTAATTTGGACATTGAATGTAAAATTATAATAATTTAAAAAAACGTAAAGGTGCGTTAGGTGCGATTAATCATGATTAATTGTTTGTTTTTTAATTGACTGTCAGCATTAGAGTAAAGGTTACCAAATGGTCTCTTGGTGCGGTCTAGGCAGGAAAGGTGATAGGCTTTAGTGCAGCCCTTCTTGTCACACAGAACCAGCTCTCCTCCATCGCCACAGCGGAAACACTCGTCCTCAGACTTCTTGCCTTCGTTCCGGGCCCTTCTCCGCTTGGGCTTTTTCTTCTGATGCTTGTTTTTGGGCTCAGAAGGATGACCGTTCTGAAGTTGATGGGTGAAAAGCAAGTGTCAAGGCATTTAGACTTCCGTCTCCATATACATTGATATCCCGTTCAAGGAGTGGAAAGTAATAAAGTAGTTATGTAGCAGGTGTTATCCAAACTTGTAGTACAAATATTATAGGGACAAACTTAGTTTTAAATGTTTTGAAGGTCACAAAGGTGATAGCTCATACTTTATAAGGCTCAAACCTTCTAAATACCAGGCCTGAGCTTTAACCACTACACCACGCCAGCAAGACCTCAATAATGACAGAGGCAGTAAGAGTCACTCACCTTGGGTCTGTCACCTAGAAAACCACTGCAGTTAGGAGCTCCACAGCGACACACAGTCTTTTCATTCCCAAGACAGTCCAGGTTATAGTTAAATGTCAGCTCAGTGCCTGAAAACATTGACACACAAATGGCCAATTAATTCTGAGAGGAAAAAACAAGATTTGGCAACAAAAGTTAGGTGGGGCGATAGCTAGAAAGTGAATTTAAAATAAATTTTTTATAATAATATGCAGAGGGCCTGCATAGTCTAATCTGTCCCACCAGTTTCATAATGCACCAAAAATATTTTTAAACTACTTATAACAAGATTCTATTTTATAAATCAACCAAACAAAAATCAATTCACGTTCACGCAAGCAGCTCTTTAGCCGGAGTTTTCAGCAGTCAAGTCTGTAAACCTGTTTTCATAGAAACTAGTTCTCCATCCAAATAAAAGCTTGAGGGTTAAACTCTTGCAAGAGATTAAAACACTAGTTATTTTTATTATAAAAACTATATACTAGTGCTGGGCAACGATTAAAAAATTTAATCGCGATTAATCGCATGATTTTCTTGCGATTAATCGCGATTAATCGCATTGTTACGCGCAAAATTTAATAATGAATTCTAAAGTAGTGTATTGCGCACTAGAGATGGGATTTATGGCTCTTTGAGGAGATCCGGATCTTTGCGATCCGTTCCTTTCAAAGAGCCGTTCAAAAGAACGGCTCTTTTGGCTCTTTTTAAATATTTAGTCAGTTTAAAGAAGCCAGCTTGGGGGAATCTCAGTTTATCCTGGAAATAATCACTGAATGATGAGGTGAGATTTGTAGTCAATTAATTAAAACTCAGATATCACACACCAATATCTGAGTTTGAATTATTCTGAAATATTGATTATTACCTCATTTGTCATGTGTGGACTATATTCCATAGGGTTGCACAACATCCCTCTGCTTAGAAAGTGATATCACTATTTTGGATTTACCTTTAGTACAAAGTATGTGTATGTGTAAAGCTATGTTGACTTATGTTATTCATACAATACCACAAGAACATTTTGATAAAAAACAAAAACTATTTAAAGTTGTAAATATATACTGTAGATACAATAACATGAACACAAAATGCAATGTAAATAAATACAAAGCAGTTCCTTTGTATTTATTTACAAAGGAACTTAGTGTTACTTTAGTGGTTTTTTTTTTTTTTTTTAACTGGAGTAACCATGTGACGGCATAAGTCATTGGCTCTGCTCCTACCCAATGACAGCACGTAGGGTTTTTTCCCACTGGAGTACTCACGTAAAGGATGCGCGCGCGTGCACAACTATCATCATGCTGTTAGGCAGTAGCACCCCTGCGCTGGGTGCGCCCCTTCCCCTATAACTGAGGAGCTAATTTGTGTGCATCTGTGTGAAACACGCATGAAAAAAGAACGACAGAAAGAACGGCTCCCCTCCAGCCGCGACTCGGCTCCCATCGTTCATGTTTATGAGCCGTTCAAAAGAATCGGTTCGTTCGCGAACGTCACAACTCTATTGCGCACTTTTGATTTAAATGTACTGCTACAAAAGTGCAATAACATGTGGTTTGCAAAAACTTTAAACAAATAAGGTGCTTTTATACCAGCAGTATTCCCTTTACACAGTATCAATAAAATATTTCATGTAAATCTCAACTTAAACATTAATGTAATCAAATCAAATATTTAAACAAAGCTATTTGCCACTGCCAGGGCATTACCTTTTATCTAGCTTGTTAAAAGAGTCCAGTTTTCTTGTTGTTGTTTTTTCTGAACAGGTATCTTGTATCAGGGAGCAGCAGAAACAGTCTATGTAGTCAAAGGGTCATGATCACTACTACAGAAATAAGTCGACCAACGTTACTTCTCTGATAGCAGCTTAGGTTTGGTCATGGCATGCCATGGTTTCCCACGTAAGATTACATTAAACAGAGGTAAAGCCAATTTATACTTCTGCGTCGAACTCACGCCGTAGCTGTGTAGCGCGCGTACCCTGACGTGCATCTCTCCAAAAATGTAACGTCAATTCTACGCGTACCGCAAGCGCTGTGATTGCTAGAACCGCTCCCCGGGTTTCACTCTCCCTCTGCATGTGTAATTGCGCGTCAACGCGGACAACGACGCAGATATATAAATGAAAACCAACGCAAGTCTATAGCGTAGAGGCTCCGGCGTAGGTCCGACGCAGAAGTATAAATCAGCCTAGAGTGAGGTGAAGTGGTCGAGCACAGGTGCAGCGACAAGCGGTTGCGTTCCTGTGAAACTGTTGCGGTCATGCCCGCCTCACGCTCGCGCCCGCGCGTTGCCGAAGTGGAATTGTCTAACTTTTTGTACACGACGCGCAGCACAAATCCTTGGAAGAGAGAGTGATCCTCGGCTCGCTGTTTGTGAGTTTCCAGAATCTAAATAGTTATCAGGACATCAACAGGAGGGAATTCACATGGCAGAGCATCCCCGCTAAACTAAACGCAGGCCTATCAGGTAAAGTTATGTATAATTTTAATTTAAGTTAAGAAGGCTACAGCTGCGTAGCGCACAGAAGCCGGTGCCATGGTTACTATCTATAGAGCGCCTGTCATTCACTCGCGGAGCGCTGTCTCCCTTTCTGTTCACCTGAGAGAACCTGCCAAAGCCTCTCCACTGCTTGTTTGTGTGGGTTATTTGCTGGCTGACCAACATCCCACCCCTCCTGTGATCATGGTTTGACTGTAGGCCTATGTGTATTCAGAGCCAGTGAGCAACGGACTTTCAAAATAATAATAAAAAAAAACTGCGTTAACGCGCGATAAAAATTGTCGGCATTAATTAATAAATGCGTTAACGCGATAATAACGCGTTAACTTGCCCAGCACTACTATATACACTTAAATATTAATTTGCATTTATTTGACAGTGCAGTTGTATCACACTGCTCAATGTATTAGTACAAGTCAATGCAAAGACTTTTTTCTTCAATGTGGTCACTGAAAATGGGTTGAAGCTCTTAATTTTGCTCTCCATGTGCACCAGATTGATGCATTTAACTTTAAAATGTTCAATCTTGCTCTGAACTTGCTTAAATTAGTGTTTTTTTCCCCCCAAACCAAGGAGCCATTATTTTAACTGCCATTTGACTAAACAGATTCTAAATATTTCATACAAGAAATAAAATATACTACTGCAGTTTTCATTTTAAATGGTGATTTTTTTTTTTTTTTTACATTTTAAAGTTTAATGCATTATATGTATTTACAAAAAATATATAGCAACACTAGCTAAAATTAGAGAGGGAAAACTTTTATTTCAATTTATCACCCAGCCTTCCACAAAAATCCATCATATCTCTTATTTTCAGAATGTGAGCTCACCAGAAGCGATGTCACACACGGCAAACAGGCCCACGCGAGTGTCTCCATTAACTGTCCATTTCTGAGTCTCGCAGTTGGGCTGGCAGCTGTGGTTCATGAAGCGAGAGTAGTTCCCTTTGGGTCCCGCATCTATAATCCGATCCTGCACACAATCAGTGTATAGCACAATGAAGGTGGAATGATCACAAACCATTATGTTGTCGTGAGCGTGTTATCTATGGAATGATCTGTAGTACTGTGTAGGGGTGGGTGATATACCAGTAGACACGATTAACCAGTAGAAATGTGTAAACCGGTAGAGATTCTAGACTATCGTCTCTGTGGCGGTTGCGCTAACATGACGTTGTTGTGCTGCGCGTTCACGAAAGCGGGTGATTTTAAACCGTTGAAGCACAATTAGAAGCGAAAGACAACTCATTTCAGTATATTGGCTATCTGAGAGACGCGTAACATGAAACCACTGCTCAGAGCGCGTGAGAACTGAACGGAGTGCTTTTTGCCGCCTAATTGGGCTTGAACAGTTAAAAACACATGATCTAGACACCTATAAATAAACAAGTGATGTGTTTGCAAGCAATATATATACTATCGCACTAATATATTGGATCCATGCAGTCGGTCTTAAAGTGACAGCATTCAAATTTACCTGCTGTCATTATAATGCTATTCAAACTACAAAAAAAAAGTATTCTATAAAAAACATCTCATTGCTCTTGACTGAATCCCTTTTGTAACAAATAAGAATAAATATATATTTAGTTTACAAAGTAAAGACTATGCATTGTTTTTTTTAATACATTTGATTACTTTATACATTACTTTATGTAGTATTTCTAATGCTTGAAGTTTTTCAGATAGGTCCATTTCATTTGTGTCTGTTCTATTGAAGTTTGTTTTCTTTGCTCTTTCTTTATCAGTTTACCTGTCTTCAAGAGGGTTTTTTTAGGCTAGTATTAGTATTTTAAATATTAAAAATGGTGATAAGAATTATGACATTTCAATGGCATCATTTTTTTTTTTATATACAATCTCATTTAAAGCAAACATAACTATATTGTGATATATACCGTTATTGTGAAATAAAATGACTCATATACTATGATATAAGATTTGGGTCATATCACCCACCCCTAGTACTGTGACCTGTAGTACCACACAAAGCTGTTCAGTGACACTACCAATGCCTATTTCTCTGGCTCTGCTGTATAGGGTCCAAACATGCCAAAATCAGGCATGACAACCAGAGCAAGCACATGGCGCCTTTATTTACCTTGTCAATAGTGAGCATATAGAAATGTGAGATGTCATTCTCTTGAGCGTATTTGATTCTGGCTCTGCACTCCTCCTCGTCTATCAGTTCACCCACATATTCATTCACAAATTCCCCCTGCGTGACACAGAAAAAGCCAATCAGCAATCACATACAGCAAATCTCCTTTGCTAAATCTTTTCAAAAGCTAGTGGACTTACTTTCTTAATGTCTCGCAGTGACAGCAGGCCCCAGCCTTTGCCTGCGGTGCGGATGATCTTGGTCTCGGGATAGTGGCGTTTGGTGAAGTCCTGGTTTTGGCAGCGCTCTCCAGCAGGACACACTTGAGGATGGCACTCGTACAACAGCATGCGGTTCAGACACTCGGATTCAAAGCTGCAGGGACGCTCGTCTGATGGCTTACAGTTACACTTGGGGATCTCAGAAATGTCTGCGGTGTAGACCTGCACTCGTCCACAAGGCTTATTCACCTAATAGAAAATAATAAATAAATAAAACCATTCAAATAAATAAAGCTTTTAAAATCTCTAAAAACAGACTCAATACATTTGTAACATTAAAATGACTACAGAAATTGTCATGGCCTGGAAATTAAACCATGGGAGTCTTATAAAGGTCATATATTGAATGGCAATACCTTGATGTATTTGTAGGGAGGAGGTTTCTTGTTGTTCTCTTGAGCCTCTTTGGCCTCCCTCTCCATCTCAATCTCCTTAAAGCGAGTTTCAGCCTCCAGCAGGGCTGCACAAATAGATAGAGGAACCATTTCACAACAGCACTGACAATACTGTGATTACAAACAAGATAATAAAACGAAGAATATTTTACCATTCTTAAAGACCTTCCCAATGCCAGTCTGTTGGTATTTGCTTCCCCTGTCCCCCTCCATGTAAGGAAAGACTCTGCCCTGGTGTGTCCAGAAATAGTCTTTGGAGCCAAAGAAGAACACGGGGAACTCTCCAATCTCATGACGTAGGTGCTGGATGTTTGTTGGGATGTTCTTAGGGTGACGGATCTCTGCAGGCCACCATCTAGAATTTTATATGAAGCCAAAGGTTAAGACAGGAAAATTACCTCTGGTAAAATGTAGCTTAGTTATTTTATCATTTTCAATAGCACGCTCTAGCCCTAGAAACCACCAACACCCTAAATAAAATAAATACAAATCTGATGCAAGCAGATGAGTTCAGTAAGTTTAAGCTAAAGGTGTGTGGTGCTGTTAGAAGCTGACCTGTAGTTCCCCAGTTTGACCCAGATAACATCTCTGTATTTGGGTTTCTTCCCTGAGCGACAATCATTACAGAACCAGCTGCCATCAGGCATAGCGATGTTCAGACAGTCAGGGTGAAATGCAGCTGGACATGACTCGCAGCACAGCAGACGGCCACCTTCAACACACAAATGCATCCATTTATATAGTGCCGTCATGTTCAACTTCAGATGCCATACATTAAAAAAGGAATAAAACCGCTTTATAATGACAGTGGAATTCACACCCTTTGAGCAGATAAAGCACCAGCTGACATTGACGTGAGAGTGGTGACTGTAGCCTTTCTTAGCCCTGAAGTGGTTTGTGCACACAATGGCAGAAGATGACAGCATCTCACTGCCCGCAGCAACACATAGGTCTCCAACATGATAGGCCACGGGACAGCGCAAACAACGCATCATCTTTCCTGCAAGGGGACAACAGGAAATGTATTAGGTGATTAAACCAACACCAACTAAATAAGTCCTTTTGTTGGAGATTCATTTAGCGTTTTCGTATAATTTAACCTATTAGAAGTGTGTAGTAGTTGTTTGTTTGCAGTTTGAATTAAATGAGATTAAAGAAAAGGTCCCACATAATATTAATCATATTTCATAGTACTTATGAAAAAACACAACAACAGTAGTCCGGTAATCTACTAAATGCGTTCATGTTGCATTCCAAAACTCTTTTGCTTTTATCGAGGTGGGATACAGGTAAAGGTAGGGACATGTTTCATGTTATGGTTAGGTTTAGGGGTGAGTTAATGGGTAGGGGAAGAGTCAACAGTGTAATAATACTTGGACTTACAGAAATAATTACTGCAGGTATTTAATTATAAGTGCAACATAACATGCATGTACATGTATCAAATTATGCAATTTAATTGTTAGTACATAGTAGTTAAACACAACATTAATGTATTTTTATTTGGAACCATTTTCTATTGCATCGTCTTTGCTGCAAGTGCGTAAACATTCATGTCTTTTTTGTACCTTTGATGGCCTTGCCAGTGCCACGGCCACTGTAGTGGCAGCTGAGGCAGGTGTGCAGAGGGCAGCGGAAGCCTCGATTCTCAAACACGGTCAGAGCGCTCAACCGTACACAGGCCTCATGGTAGAAGCGGCCACAGTGAAGAACACAGCAACGCCGCACCTCTCCTTCAGACTTCTTACAGGTGAAACACACATGCACACCTGAAAAAGTGAAAGAAAATTATAGCTCACAATAGTGAGAAAGCTGATTTTTCTAAACACAACATCAGTAACATGACATCAGTGTATCTCACCTGAGATGCAGGCAGTGCAGAGCACCTTTTCTGCTGATCGCTCTAGTCCAATACAAGGCAGGTGATATGAGCCACAGCACTGTCCCTCACACATCACTAGATCCTCCCCGCTCTGCTCACACACCTGGAAAACAGCAACACAAACACTCATGTAGGGCTGGGCGATATGGCCAAAACAATTATCACAATATCATTTTGATCTTTTGTTATAATTTTATCGAGGAAAATTATATCACCATGATTATCGCTATCTTTTTATTGCCCAGCCCTTCATTAATGCTAGTTCAACACCTCTCTACACGGACCGTTCACTCACCAGACACACGCTCTCTTTTTTGGCACCGGCAGTGCGTTCCGTCTTTTTTGAGGGATGTGATTCGTCTGTACTGTCACTGGGAGAATCGGGTCTCTGCTCACACAGCAAACTCTAAAATATGTATTAAAATGATATTTACTTAAAGGGTTAGTTCACCCAAAAATGGGCCTGAGACGAGAGTTCAAGAGATTTCCAGGACGCATGCGCGAGAACTGACGTTCTTCTTCTTCTACTACTATGTACAGCGCGCATCTTCCTCTGCTTGTAAGACGCACGCTGTGTAGAAGAAGAACGTCAGTTCTCGCGCATGCGTCCTGGAAATCTCTTGAACTCTCGTCTCAGGCCCACAAGGAAGCAATGGAATAGTCGAATAAAGTCATTATTTTTGTTTGTTTTTCCGCACAAAAAGTATTCTCGTTGCTTGATAAACTTATAGTGGAGCCACTTGAAATATTTAAACATTTTCTTTAATGACTTTCTGGGCCGTCAAGTGTCATTCCCTTAGGCAGCCTATGTAGCAGTGATCCACCTCTCAGATTTAATCAAAAATATCTTCATTTGTGTTCCGAAGATGAACGAAGGTCTTACGGGGTTGGTACAGCATTGGGGGGGAGAAATTAATGACTTAATTTTCATTTTTGGGTGAACTAACCCTTTAAAGCAGGGGTCCCCAACCCCCGGGCCGCGGACCCGTACGTGGGTCATTTGGTACCGGGCCGCACAGAAAGAATAAATAACTTGCATTATTTCCGTTTTATTTATTCACACATTTACCTGTTCACATATCGCGTCTTTTGCGCGCTCAAGTTCTTTATTTCAAATGTAGGCGTGCTCATAATGGAAGCGACGCGCTCTTTTTTTCAAGCGAGTCCGCACCGCATTCGAGATAAAAACATATCTCAACTTTTCAGAATGCCGCAAGCGCACCGTAGGTCACGTGACAAGAACCAACCAATCATCTTCAACACTGTAAACTGCTGCACTAGTAGTTACTAGTAAAAAATATTTTTACTGAAATTTTTAATGCTCAACTGATTCCTTGTTAAATCCATCATTGTTTATACAGAATTGTTCTATATTCTATATATAAATGTGTATGTGTTTGCTATTTCTGGCGTTTTATGACCACTTCAGTTATAGTCTAACCTCAGACAAATGCCGAGCCGTTGCGCAGGAGAGATAGTTTCACGGCAGAAGCTCTGTTTACTGATGCTTGGGACAACTTTTCTTAAAATATAATCAAACTGCTCCTTGCCCACTCTGAAATAGGCTTTGAACCTCCCATTTGTCCAGGCGGAGCTCCTGAATCAGCTGGTGAAATTCCCCATGGTTTTTGCGTTTTTGTAGTATCGGGTGCACCCAAACACTGCTGCGTTTTTTACTCTTCTTAGTAAATAAATCTTGTAACAGAGTTACAGCAAGGGTTTTTCGGTGGTGGAAATCCATTGCTGAAATTAATTTGCTGTAACGGAGAGCGCAGCTGATGGTTGCTTAGCAATGACAGACGCCTCCGGAGCGCAACCTCGCGCCTAGCGTTTTCTACGTGTTTTAGGCGCTATATGTGAATGGCGCCTTATAGGGGGCAGAGAGGATGTTACTCATGTTATGTTGTTGGCGCGATGTTACGAGGACGCTGCTAATAAAGTTGCGAGTAGGCCTACACATTGGATTCACGTTTATTATTATTATATTTAAAAAATACCCCAGTTTTTATGCCGGTCGTTTCATTTTATTTTGTTGTATTTATCCGCCACACCTTAAAGGCCGGTCCGTGAAAATATTGTCTGATATTAAACCGGTCCGTGGCGCAAAAAAGGTTGGGGACCGCTGCTTTAAAGGACATCTGGCAGGTAAAAGTGACACAAACCATTAGTTTACGGTTCCAAATAAAGTTCATTATTCAAACCAAGAGACACATGAAGCAAATCACATTATTAAACAGAATTACAACTTGTCAGGTTCTAAGTATGATATTTCACGTATTAGAGAAACAAAAAATACACACACCTCTGGCTCAGGGTAAGATGATCCGCGGCGCTTTTTGGATGCGACAGGTAACGATTGTCTCCCTAAATCCTGTTTCCGCTTCCTGACACGTTTGACTTTAGCAGGAGACTCCTCCTCAGCTGAGGAACAAAGAAAAACTATATTTTAGAAAAAAATATATAAAAAGGACACAAAGATGAACAGTATTTAGACGGAGCCGTTTCTGTAGTTCATAATAGTTTGCAGATTTACTTGGGGCTTTTTTTATTTGTTTCCTTTCTTCATCCCTGTCGGATTTCCGCCTCCTCCCCCTCGGTTTAGTGACAGAGGCCTCAGCTGATGGTGCATTCTGACAGAAATTAAGACAAAGAATATTTTAGTGTCAAGTTATTACTTGAATTCTTTTAGTTATTCTTTTATTTAAATTTTGCATGAATTATTTAAAAAAAATTGTTAAAATATCTCTCATGGCATTTTCTCTCATATCACCTTTTGGCCTTTCTGCTTTTTCAGCTCCTTTTCAAGCTTGATTTTCATTTTAGGCTGCAGTGCTACATCCTTCTTTGACTCTCGCAAACGTTTGTAGCCTTTTTTCTTTCCTGTATGAAGCAGTCAGAATGCATGCTTATCGTCTAAAGCCTTTTATAACATTTTTTTTTAGGTTTTTCCTTTCAGTATACCTTTTCTATACACAACTGGTGTTGCAACTAATAACGAAACCACCCACACACCTTTAGAAGAGCCATCCTTCTCCAAAAGATTTGGGCTTAGTACTGATACCTTTATATCTGATAACAGAAAAACAGAAAATTACTACAGGAACAAAAATACATGCAACAGCAGCCTTGAAACATGAAGGCATAAAGAGATTGTTTATAATTAGATGTAGCAAAAATATCATATCACAATTTTTTTGCATGATTTTTTTTTATGTTGGTTTTAAAGGCCATTTTGCAAGTCACTGAGCAGTACAGCCAAACTAATTTCCCTTTTTTAATAATTTAGCCTTGCGGGATAAAAAAAGAAAAGAAAAGAAAAGAAAAGAAAAGACAAACCATTTAGACCAAACTAAATCTGTATTAGATTTATTTTATCTTTGTTATTAAAAATAACAAATGCTGTCACTTTAAGACCACGGATCTAATATCCTGACATGCATCCAAACGATTAACATTCAACTTCAAGATATAAATGACTTTTTATTATAAACCTTTTGCGTATTTGACACGAAAGAGAACAGTTAAGTACTTGCGCACTGTGACAGGCTTTTAATGCGTGTGCACTTTGAGGGTATGCGTAGGGCTGGGTGATAAGGACAAAAACGTAACTCGATATACAATATACATCTCGATACTTTCTACGTTTTTCTATTTGGATAAACAAAATCTATATATATATATATTTTAATATTTCACATCCTACCCAATGATATCCTACAAACAATGTTGATATTGAAGGATATGGAAACAAATATAGTGAATTTAATGTAGGCTATGCAATATATTATGTGCAAAAGTGGCTAAAATCACATTACATTCTAACATTGTAACATTACAATCTAAAAACAAAAATAATGCTTTTGTTTTTAAATTGACTAAAGGCTTAAAATAAAAACAAAGGCACAAACTAATTATATTACCCTGCATTTGATTACCCCATTATAATGGTCACTTTCATAGGTTTAAAATGCCACATATGGCACATTTTTTACACGTTCACATGTGGCACAGAATTATTGCGCTAATATTCTATTGTGCTTCGTCGGAAGCTTGAGTTTTAGCGGAGATTCACTTGCAGAAGGCTCCTCTCCTGACAGTGAAATGGACATTTGTTTGACTTTCTAACATTTACAGATGGATAATATACCTGTGAAATGTAAGTTAAGCACTGAGGAAAGCGCCACATCTCAAATGCCTTAAACAGCGCAAGTATTTATCTGTCAGACAGCATTCTCAGCAACAGTATCTGTCAGAGCATCTGACAGGGCAAGCTACTTTAAACTTGTTAACTGTATCTTACCAGTTATTTTGAAGCCCTTAATAGCCTATAACATGTTTAGGACAAATTGTACTATGTACTTTCACTGCAGCAGCTCACACTGCGTCCTCCGCTATTTTTACTAAGTGCTCGTATCAAACTACAGTATCGATATAAACGGCATTGCCTCATTCCATATTGTTTAAAAAAAATATCGATATATCGTACAAACTCGATATACCGCCCAGGCCTAGGTACGCACTTAGAAATCTTGTCAGAACAGCGTGCAAACAAGAAGTTTAACTGGTAAGGCTTTAAAACGCATGCAAAAAAATTAACTTTCGTGATGCGGAAGAACTGTAATGTCACTTGAGCGTAACCCTACCGTAGTGTTGCTAAACGATGTGGTTGTACAGTACATGGGGACTGATAGAATGTGCGCTGTAGCACAATACTAAGATATCTCTTCAAAGGCAGATCGTGGAGACATGTTAATTCTTCACAATCTAAAATCGTGATAAATCACACACCTCTATTTATAACATACATTTCAAATATATATATATATATGTTTCATAATTATACCATAAATATTTGCTAATATTTATAGTTGGATAAATAAGTAAATTACCTTTTTTTTGTGGAAAATAAATAAATAAACAAATTATTTCACTGGTTAGGTAATTGTTTGCCCTTTACAGTTTTATAATTGGCTCACCTGAAAGTCCAGGATTAGTGGAAACTGCATTTAAAGTGTCAGAGATACTGACACCTGCTTTTATTTTCCTCTTCTTCACTGAATTTGGTGCTGCAGGAAACTTCTGTCTGATCTGTCTCTGTTTCTTCTGAGGAGCTTTTAGCTGAAGGTCTAGATCAATACAGAGCAGGTCCTTCAAATATGGAAAGATAAATTAAATAAAGAAAAGTTGATTACCACAAAAATACCACAGAAACACTGATCATGATATAATGAGACCAAACACACTTTTTTCCGGAAAGTCCGTTTCCCAGCATTTATATTTCTTTTCCTCTGGTGTTCAGGTGTCTCTGATGAAATACAGGAATCCTACAATAACAAGATAAGAAATATTACATCTCTAGCCTCTCAATAAAATCCTTATCCTACACAGAGCTAAACAATGCCAACCACATCGCTGTCTGCTACCTGAACAGTAGATTCAGTCAGAGGGATCTGTTTTGCAGAGGAAGCTTTTGACGTCTTATACTTCAGTGTTGTGCCACGCTGTCTGCAGCGATCCTTCTTCACTGACGTTTTAGGTGCTTTTCTGGGTAGGGTGGTTTTCCCTGATGAAGTGCTGCTGTCTGTGGGGTGGGAAAAGAGGCCTGGGATGGTGGTAGGTATTGTGGAGTTGGGGCTGGAATGAGTGGAGTCGGGGGGAGTGAGGCTGACAAGCTCTTGAGACTCCCTCTGAGCTTGGTCTTGCTGTGGTCCCAGACTGCGTTGTGCTTGAAGCTCTTGTAGCATGCGAGGATTGAGCTGGGCTTTCCCCTTTTCATAAACAAAGCTGAATTTGGCCAGTCGCTCCTCTATTAGTTGACCCAATGCTTCGGTTGCCTGTGACACACCTGTCTCCCACTGTTCCCGGAACTTACGAGGAACTGCCCGCTGTAGAGAGTACATCAAAGAAGAAGTCTGAGACAAAGTAGTTTCATGAAATTCCAACAAATGTATGGAAAAACTTCCCCCATTAGTGAAAGATATATACACAATATTTACTGTACCTTCCTTCCACTGATATCAATGGGTAGTTTGTTGCTGCGGCTAAGTGACTGGTACTGGTGTTTTCCTGAGAAGGTGACTATGCTCGTCTCAAAGACATATCCTCTCTCTGGAGCATCTCCGAAGTACTGCACATGGTACAACAATCCTGTGCGGCTATTCACTGCCAAAATGCAAAAATATCTATGAAAAATTAAGAAATTCACTTCCACAGGTGCTACATTTCTCAACCTGCCCTGTTGACAGTTGGAAGCAGGTCATTCTCTCAGCTTATGTTAGCTCAGGGTCACACTTTCACAAACAATTTCCACAGGATCTGTGCTCTCCCCTATCAGAGCTTTCAAACCATCTTTTTGGACCAAATGCAAGTGTTGTTTTTGATAGGGTCACAACTCTTCTCTCAGCATTTATAATCTGCATCTGCAGATGTCTGCACAGGCTTTAAATTGAACCTGTTTAATCGACGATCAATCAGTTTTATCGATTAAATGTATTAAACAATAAGGGCTGTACTGTCCCAGTCGATTAGTCGATTAATTGGTCGATACTTTCTGGTTCGCCCAAAATTCTGATTGGTCGATTTTTTGCCGCGTTCATTTCATCAGTTTTGCCGCGCTGCGGCGCGCTCATTTCATCAGGTGGAAAGCACTAACTGCTAATGGGGGTGTTTTCAGAGTACGCTTGTTTCACAGGTAACAGTCGGTCTTCAGAACACCCCCCTTGTTTTCCCCTTTTTTGGATTAGCCCAACCCAAGAGAGAACGATAAGTAGGCTATAGAAGGTTTGATGCGGAATATTATTTATTTAATTGTGAGAGCATTTAATAGTCAGTCCTCTTCTAACATGTCAACAACAAAGAAATCGACAGTGTGGCAGCATTTTGTAAAAAATTGATAACGGGAAAAAGGTCGAATGCAAAGTTTGCAAGCAACAGTTTTCCACAGCTCATGACATACCAACATGACATATCATCTAAAAGTGGTAAACTCACTTGTCTGCGTTAGCTTGCCTGTTGTCTGTTTTGAGTAGGCTATATGAACATATCAGAATTTGAATATTTCAATGTTTTAGTGTGATAACCTACATTTTTTATTTGGAGCCTAATGCGCAATTGCGCTGTGCCGACTGTTTGTGGTAGTTTTGAGCCTAAGATGCTTTATTTTTCAGTTATGCACTTTATTTCGTTTCTGCTCTTGATCTGGTTTGTTTAATAAATATTCTTTTTTTATTAAAGTGGACGTGCCTTTTGTGTTTATTAAGAGTAAAACCTTTAAGTTAATAGTCTATTCGTGTCTCAGCCACGAAGCTGATATGTTCAGCCTCGCTCTGTGCGAGGACATGCACAGAGCTGCTAAAATGAGTGTCTGACAGTTATAATTTATTATAACAACATATGACAAAAATAATTGTCTAAATTATGTTGCATATTCCTCAACAGTTCTTGTGGTGATATCACTAGTTGACAACATAGTACTATTTTCGGAAATCATAGGCTATGATATTGCTCAGGTGCACGTGATGCAACGCTGTCAGAGCCGACAGACTCGAGTGTCAGACTCATTTCAGTGCAAAATAATTAGGTCAAAAACGATTTAATATACTGCAAATAGCCTACTAGTTTTTTATGTTTATTTATAATTCATTTAGGTGGACAACAAGGCTACCAAGTACTGCGCACTGTGTGCAGCGAATTAATTTAATGTTTTTTTTTTTCATTTTTAGCCGAAAATTTCAGGACTTCAGTCGACCAAGATTTTCTTTGAGTACAGCCCTACAAACAATTAATTAATCTTCGACTAATCATTAACATCCCTAATATAATATATATATATATATATATATATATATATATTAGTGCTGGGCAACGATTAAAATTTTTTATCGCGATTAATCGCATGAATTTATTGCGATTAATCGCATTGTTACGCGCAAGAGTGAATAATGAATTCTGAAGTAGTGTATTGCGCACTTTTGATTTAAATGTACTGCTATATACACAAAAGTGCAATAACATGTGGTTTGCAAAAACTTTAAACAAATAAGGTGCTTTATACCAGCATATATATATATATATATATGCATGCATGTTTTGCAGTGAGCATACTTGTCAAAGGTTTAATAGACATAGCAAAAGGAATAAGATTGTGTGGTGTTTGAATCGAGATTGCGATCTTTTAACAATTAATCATGCAGTTCTACTACAAAGTTCTTCTTGTAACCTTTAAATCCCTTGATGACCTTGCTTCTTGCGTCTCTGAGCTACTTCAGATTTGTTTCCTTGATATCTCCTAGATTTTTTTTAGTCAATATCTATCAGTTAGCAGTTACTGTTCTAGTGTTCTAGTAATGTTATTGATTGAGCTATCTGATCCAGGCTTTTACATGTCTAAATACAGATCATTATGAAAAGGTGGAGCCAATGTTACAAAAGCATCATCCTGGCATCCATGCCACAAACTGACAGTAATTGAGTAAGAAAGTTATGATGCAAATCTGTTGTTGGTTGAGGAAATGGTGCTAGAAAGCACTGAAAAACAATAAGTCAACTGATCTAGCACACCTTACCTTTCGACTTAAAGTGCATGTTGAACTCTGGGTCAGTAGTGATCATGCATGGCCACCACGGGTATCCAGACACTTTGGTCCAGATAACATCTCCCACTGAGTACTGCACATGCTGTTGTGTCTCTGTACCACTCACTTTCACATCATCCACGCCCTGTGCAACATCACTCACTTCACAAGCATACACAGGCTGCTGCAAAAGAGAAATTAACTAAGTCTCAAGAATAGAATCTAGTCTACAAGGGGATAATACATTTTCCTGAAGACAAACAACAAATTCGAAAAGAAACTAATTTACTATTAAAGACAATTGAAGGAGGGAAACAAGCAGGTAAATGTGTGCCATTAAGCTATACCTGGATAGGGGTGGGATTTACACTAGTAGGTATCTCGCCATCAGTCTGCTCATTAGTGGGAAGAATGCATGGTTCAATGGTGAGGTCATTCGAATTTATGGTGGTTTGCAGAAGAGGGGATCGAACATAATTCGCAGTAGGGTTTAAAATCGGACGTCTCCGATTTGGTGGAGTTCTCTTCCTCACAAGCCCCCTCTTTTTCTTTCGTCTTTCTCTCCTGCCAGTTGGAGAGGACAGAACACCTTCTGATAGTCTCAAAGGTGCATCGGTCTCCTCTTCTCTTTCCCCTTCATAATCCGATCCGTATCGGCTTGTCTTCCCACCTAGATTTACCACGCATTTGGTTATTTTGAAAGTGAGTTCAGGAGAAACGTTGGACTTTCTCGGAGGGCTGGCGTGTTGAGGAAGAGGCTCCACCCCTTTGAGAAGAGGCTGTGGAGCTGTGGCAGCACAGAGCTTTGGAATTTTGTCTTGATCGCCATTTAACAAGCGGGAAGTCAGGTCCTTTAGCCGCTCGTGGGTGTGGTTGTGACCATGACTGCCAATTATCTGCAGAACATTTTCTTGAGGTGTAGCCGCCACCATCTGGGTAGCAGCTTTATCCATGAGCATAGTAGGGTCAGTGCTCCCATCACCCCGACTCTTACATCCACCAGGTGAATCAGACGGCTGTTTCATGGTGGTAGGACTCCCGGGCTCTGGCATTGCAGGCAGTGATCTCCCCTTACTGTCTGTCATTACTAACCAGGGGCCTGCAAAACACAAAATAAGAAATGTACATAAGTCCTCACCTAAGGTACTGCACTACATAGACTGATATAAAAATGTACATGCATGCAAATAGAGCATTGCAAAGGTAGTTACGAACAAACTAGGTCAACTCTAGCGTATTAATGTTTATATTAGGGTGACCCTTGGTTAGAAAAGTTTTACAACTCATGCTTTATAATTTATAAAGCACATCAGTATTATAAGAAAAATAGTGTTCAATTCTAATGCAAACACAACTACATCATAGGACACACCTTTGAACCACAGGCCCATTTTTGTTAATGAATTAAACTTGATTTAAAATAAAACAAAATAAAAAATAATAATAATAATAATAAGATATATTAATATATTATATATAGTTACAAAATAAACAGACTAGGATTTTTTTTTAAATCGCGTTTATATAATAAACATAAGTTTTCAGCCCACTGCACATGATGTGGCGAATGACGCATGCTGCAGATTCTAAATAGCCACAAATACATACGTTACAGTTCGTGACACTGGTTAAGTGAAAAAAAAATTGAATGGGTTATGCCGAGGATGGAGTTTGAGAACTGGAATGGTTTGGTCCCACATTAAAATGGCTTCCGTGGAGGGTTGGCAGTGCGCGAGTGGGTGGCCAGCCGCTTTAATTCAATTCAATGCACAAACCCTGACGCAACCTCCTCAAATGAATCCCGAAACCAAATGCAAAAATACAAACAATAACGTTACCATTCGATACAAAATGAGCACTTCGAGCGTTCCATCAATGAAATATCAAACGTATCGCTTTAGATCTGTAACATGCACAACGTCAATAGACAAATCAGATTTTTAAAACCGAACAAGAATCAAAGCTTTATGTAAAACAGTCTGCTCGAATGCAAATGTCCGTTCGGACCTAAACAAGAGGCAGTTATCAAGCTATTGTTATTCAGGCTGAACAGTCAGGATGCCTCGTTAACATCAATGAGGTGAGATTATGGATGAGCCACTGATGGACTCGTTTAACCGTCCTAAATAGACCACCGCAAACTGAAAGAAAATAACCGAAGATAATGCAGATAATAGACTTTTACACCAAAATAAAACTAAAACACCTTCGTGGGAATTGCGCTCTCGGTTGAAATGCTGAAATGCTTCAAATTCCAGACAGATACCAAGAAATGTATATACACAGTGGAGTAAACGATATCAAGCCGTAAGGCTCGTGAAAGTAACTGGATAGAGCTAAAATGATGTTAGCAAAGAAATGGCTCGTCAGAACACAAAAAAAACTTGAGCTGACCCAAACATTGCTACGCTATTAAATGTGTAATCTCTGAGGGGGTGTTTGGGGCTGTGATACACATTATACCCACATGGCACGTTTTATTAACTAACTGGAATAATTTACTCTTCAAACTGAAGCTGACAAACCTCGCGAACTACAGCTTAGCCAGCTAGCAAGTGAGGTACAGCTGCAGCTGCCTCAGTCAGTGACATACTACAAAACGACTCGTTTATCTATGAGGAAATCTCTAATATCACACTGCAGCGTGTAATAGACAACAATTCCCCCAAACTATGATGTGCCATGACTTATTTCTGTGGGAAAATAAACCTGTTTGCAGCATCTCCATTACTCCCGACCTGTATTGAGGAGCTTGCGGGAAACTCTCTCATCCCAATCAGCGCCAAAAATACTCACATCCGATTGGCTGACACTCGACGGCACAATTCAACCGGCCTTTTCAAATATCACTCTCTTCGCGGCTGACTTTCCGTTGAACATCTTCACTTATCCCTGGCGTACTCCAAACGTCATCGCAGGTTCGTAGTTTAAGATAAAGCCATGAGAGTCCGAGATCATCTGTTTTTGTTTTTATTTCGAAAAATGGCAAAGCTGCACACAGATCACTGCTCGAGGAATTGAGGAGGGCAATTCTCACCATGTGACGTCAGATGCAAGAGGGAGGGAATTCGTTATCTTGTTGCCAGTTGTATTTAGAAAATATGGCGAATGCTTTTACGTCGTTGTTTTAAAAATAAACGATAATATTTTTGCATTTGCTATTTGTAATAGTTGGTAGAAGATACAATATTTGTGGAATATTTAATTTCTGCTTGAAATATATTTTTATTTACTCAGTTAATAAGAGGTGAGCGCATTGTCGATTTGCACATTAGAAAGCGTGCCTGGCAACCTGGAAATAAGCGCGCCAGATTGTGTTGCCATGTGCGCTTATTATAAACTATTTTTTCGGCTTGTTGATTTGTCAAATCTAGACACTTGCGGGTTTGGGAGTTGGTAGTGCTTGGCCCCTGTAGCATGTAAAGTAACAGCACGTAAAATAGTAGTCTTGTGTTGTATTTGAAACATTGAATTGATTTTTAAAAGATAGAATTATGGACAAGACACTTCCATTACAGCAATGCGATGTTTTATGTACATTTATGCTACAATAAAACAATGAAGCACACAATAATTCGCTTTGAAATGAAAAAAAAGTGTATTTATACTCATTTTAATTAGGTTAGTCATGTATTTGGAGCGTATTTTATCAGACCAGTTTTCTTATTTTTCTAGAGAGATCTGGCAACAGTGGCGCCAAGGCCCGTATCATATAGACCTCATTGGCCAGAGTTCACAAACCATTAAAATGATTGCCGCTTCAAAAAGCAGTATAAATACCCATTTCTGTTTATTAAAATTTAGCAAGCGTTTTTGTTTGTAAAAAAAAAAAAAATCTGTATAGTATTATAACATACTTGAAACAAGCCGCATTGCTTGTACACAGGCTCATTGGCAGTGCTTAACAGGATTAATATAAAGCTATATAATTTTTCCAAACGTAGCTTTTTACAGATATCTGAACTCTAAACAACATGCATTGTTGGTCATTTCATTTAGAGTTTTATGAGTCTATTTCTTCCAGGCGTATGATTTGCCGTGATGTCCCCGCTTGCTTCATCGTTTCTTCTCGGTCAGTCCTGTCACTGCAACACGCCCCCTGCTGGCCGAGCTCGAGCCACACAGGAACACGGAAGCAAATGCCGAGCGAGCGCTTGCAAACTCATCGCTTGAATCACCGAGGAGGGTACAAGGACATGAGCCAAGAGCTTGGGACTATGACTTCTGTGGATAGTTCATAAACCGTCATCGTATTATCTCTTTACGCGCCTTTTCATCCATACAGACAGGAACAGAATGGCATCGATTTTGCTCACCAGGTCTCGGACTCCGTTGATGAAAACATCTAGGTCATTAAAAAACGAATTCAGAAAAGGTAATACAGTTTTTTTAATACAGGAGAGAGATCAGTAAGTGGTTAATTATATTGTTTTGAACACGACGATTTGAATGGATAACTGTAATTCTATCTGCCTTTTTAATTTGGAAAAACGCAGCGATCTTTATGAACTGTCAAATGTGCGTCACGCAGAACTGATACAGGCGTAACGTTACAGACAGTAACCCGTTTTGTTTTATTTATATAGGCCTCGTGAACATTCTCCTGATTTGTTTACTGTTATTCATTCCGGATATTTCCAGCCATTTCATGTAACTTACACTGCAAATATCATGTATGAAAAGATTTCCATCCTAATACTGAAGTCAGAAAGTTCATGACCTAGCCACTTAGCTTTCAAACCTGGCACATAAGATTATTGAACGACTGGTGAAGTGAGAGGCTTAAGTGATTAGCTAACCAGCTAAACTAGCCTCACAGATTGAAGCAGTCATAATCACCGAGAACCCTCCAATTTAAACGTTTTCATGGGATGCGTCCAGTGTACTGGTTGTACAGGCACAGATAATGGAGGCTCACTGTAACCTAGTGCGTATGTGTCGGTGTCTCACGTGCTTGCGCTTTTGTGTGTTCATGCTCTGTTACTGTAAGTCATTTCTGGAAAATAACTGTGCTGCAACCGTTGTTGACCGGTGGTTGGTTTGTCTGCTCATTGTTATGGTGTACACGCGAGTCGTTTCCACACTTTTGAAGAAACGTTTGAGTTTGGGTTTATCATGGAGCGCCTTTTTTAAGTCAGACACTGAATTATAGTATTGGACATCGGTATGTTATTTGCAGGTGTAGCCAGTCGGACGCTCCTGTCTGAGAACGTCAATGCGATCAACAGAAAGAAGAAATATGATTTAATGCTTATAAACGCGTTTTATATCGTCGTCATTTATGTGTATAATGCGGTTGTATATCATTTTAGAGCCATATATTTTGCTCAGGCTACTGGAGAACAGGGGCTTGTAGACTTGTGTGGCCTCCTGGAGGTTATTTGAGGACAGACTGCTTTTCCGTTTGGCGCAGACTGCAACGACTGCCTCCTTATTATAGACCGGTCGGTCATAGTAAAGCATCTTTCATATAAACAAATACAATATAATGATGACATCTCTCCATTCGCTTGACAATACTGTTTTAGGCCTATACATTGTGTGCGCTGGTCAATGGTTACTAAAATTGGTGGGAATATTTTGATTCAATCTTTTGAATTCATTCTGTTCACATAAATATTCATTCAGTGGACCAGGCATAACAATGTGATAATACCATATTAGTGAGTCATAAGCCATTAAACACGGTAAATTACTATAGAACTACCATGTTTACTTTTACCAATAAATGCACAAATGTGCTGTTCACAAGCAACATCTTTTTACGGGTAAGATATCATTCACATATCAGTACCAAAATACCAGTAGACTTTTAGATGTGTTGCTGTGTTGTTTTCTTTGTCCACTTGGATGAGGAGAAGTGCTTTGGTTTCACTATTTGTTCAATTTGACAACATTGTTTTCGCAATAGTAACTGCTGAACTGTGCTGATGAATTGAAAAGAAGGCGGGGTCTCAGATACAAGACAAATTAAACAATTAATAGCAGTGAAGCTTACTGTAAACAGCTCAGACAGAGCTTTATGATTGGCCCAAAAGCAAACTTCTTATGTTAGCGCGTTCTGACCTAGTACATGCTCATACCTGTGATTCTATTCTTTGTTCACACACAGCATTATACAGGTAATTAACTGGTAATGTTACAACTTCTCTTTCGTTCAGGAAAATGGCCAGAACAGGTTTACCTGCATTTTTGAAAAGGTCCTGTTCACTCATGATTTCTAAATGATAATTTACTAGTAATTTGCCAGTAAAGACTGTATGTGAAAGGGCTATAGAGTCACCCTACCTAACACGGTCTCATGAGAAAACAAACATTTTTTTAAATTAATTTGTACGATGTGATTTCGAATTAAAACTAAATTAAAACTAAAAATGTTTAGAAAAAAATGTCCACTCCTAAACCTAGCCATCAGTGGGGCGTTAGCAGATCATATGAAAGCATAATGAGATCGTGCAAATTCACCACCAATTTGGAAAACCATCAAATAAATATGAACTGCCATTAGATTGTGTTGCCCTACCCCTATTACTTACTGTCCCACCTCCTTTTGTAGTTCCTCTGCACTTTGTAGAGTTCTCCTTCCTTTTTGGAGCTCTCTGGCCTGCAATTATATCTACTTTGTAACAGGTTCTTATGTTTTAAAGACACGCTTCAAAATGGAGAGGTGTCAGTGAACGAAGAATATAAGTCAGTCCATAAGAAATAAATGGTGGTAACAATTTGGTTAAAACACACACACACACACACACACACACACACACACACACACACACACACACACACACACACACACAAAGAAACCATCACTAGTTTCCACAGAGACCCTCTAATAGTGAATCAGAAGAATACAATCTGTTTTTTTTGTGGTTGAACCAAATTGCAAAACTTGTTGTTTAGTAACAATTCAGGTTTCATAATCCATCATTTGTAATTTCCCTGATTAGACATTTGTCTCGATATAACCAATAATAATACTTTTAATCATTACAAATTACAAATCAAAGCGTATCAAAAAAATGTTTAATGCAACCTTGATAAATGTATGCATCTAATTTAGATTTAATTTAAAAATTCAGTCATACTGTTCACAGTTTTGTTTAAATAAATGATGGAAATTATACAGTACAATTAAATGGCAATAAAGCCACAAATCTCTAAACCTTGCAGCGGAAGCAAGTGGCTTCAGCATTATACCTTGTCTAAAATGAATTAAAGCTAATGCTCTTTTGCTTATTTTCCCAACCACAGCGTTGCTGCCACAATCTGTAATTGATTTCGAAATATACTTAAAGTGTTTCCTGAGAAACCTCAGTAACTTCCATGTGTGGACTTTTTGTATTAGCTAGCCTGTAGCAGTGTGGTCTGACAAATGATTAACCACACACAGCTTTTCATGACAGCCTATAAAGTAGAGGTCTGATCTGGATGTGCATTGTTAGGTAAACGATTGCTGAATAGCTTTCATAACATTGAGCCTTTGGATTGATAATGATTATCATACATTTAAAAAAAAAAAAAGCTCAACATGCCAATAAGCATGATAACACTGATTAAAAACAAAATATTACAATTGGCAGAAAAGTTAGAATATTTTGTTCATGTTGCATCAATGTTAACAGTCAAAGAAGACTTAACTCAGAGATACATTTGCAATGAACGAAGTCTTAACCTACATTGTCTCTTGCCAGAGATGGGGTTTTCTTATCAGGACACAAGCTCAATCCACAGGCTTCTACCAAGCTGGTTAAATGTACCAGCACATACTGTGACTTGTCACACACAACACGAGAGAGAAGGACACCCGATGCGAACAGCAGTCTGCAGAGTTTGTGTGCTTCTGTTGAATGAGTTGACTGTCATGTTATATATAGGTTCAGGGAATCAATGGACTGAAACAACCATCACTGTAAGTTTGTTCATTTGCATATAGATTATGATTATACACTTGTTCCCAGACATAAATGAAGTATATCTGTAGGACTTGGTACCCTCCACTCTTGCTGTTTTATCACACTCTCAAAGGGACTGCTGCTTCTGATAAGACTTTCTCACAAAACTTCTGATAATGGAGTCAGACTCTATCAGTGAGATGGTTTCATAAGGGATAGACACCCCCCTGAGCCCTGCAAAAAGTTTGGTAATAGAAGTATTTCATTATATTAATGTTTATATAGTTATTTAAATATTTTCCCCTGGCGTGTTCTTGTTGAGCATGTGAAGATGTAATTTTTCTGTGGCTCCAGAGTGATTAGTCATATCATGGCATTTACAGCTCAGATGTTGTGCCCAGAATTGATTGCCCATGAGCCAAGATGTCAGCACGCAGGATGTGTTTTCTGCTGTTGAAATTAATGGGAATGTTAACGGATAGCATTATGGAACACCTTGGTTGGATTGCTTGAACATTGTTTACATTCTTCTTATTTTCACATTTCCTATTGTAGCTGACTAAACTTAAAGCTGCAGTCCGTAGCTTTTCCTCTTTGTCGCCATCTCTCTGTTCGAAATCTGTAACTGCAGTGATTCGCGGAATTATCATCTTTACGTGGGTTGTAAATCGGCATGAAACAGCGCGGATGAACACAGTGCTTTGAGGCGAGTGCTGCTGTCAGTCACCGCGCTGTGTGGATACTGTCATACAGAATCACAGATTCACTTTTTGAAAGTTTGACCAACATAAGAATTTTCATAAGAAAATGTCTTCTGAACAAGTAAGTAACATCCATTTTTGTTCTGACCAACTAAGGGGGGAAAAGCATTCGACATGATAAGCTTCGTTAGATTTAATCAACGCGATTTACAGCAACCGTGCAAATTATAGCCTACTTTGTTCTCAAATTGTTCATGTTAACAACATCACATCAGCATTGCGTGACTAATGTTAAATTTAATGTGTTTTATGGTTATCTGTGTAGTTCAGAATTCATATTCTCCATAATAGCAAAACGAGAAAGGCACAACAAAGGAAACTCCATAACTGTGTGAATTAAGAAAACGTACTGTTACACGATTGAACTATTGAAATGTCTTACTTGTTCAGCAGAAAAAAGCCGTCTCTTCTTCCGTTTTGAACCCCTTCAAAACACGGAGTTCACGCACTTTTCAAAAGCCCCGCCGATGTTTAAATCCTTGTGTTCGCATGAGACGGTTTCTTTCTCTTTCTCTAGCCACCTTAAATCCGAAGTACGAAGTCTTTTGGGTTTTATAACTGCTGAATCTCCAGTTGACACTGATGATTGTTGTTTGGATCTTTCTGGATGCCATAAGTTTAGTTATGTAAAGTGCCACGAGAAATGCCTATACATCTAAACATCTCGTCACGCGCAGTATAGCCGGCTAGCCGAAACTCCTTCTTTATGTGTACGGGTGTGACGTCATGACGCAAAGACATGCTCGAATTTCCCGCGGAAACCCACCAGTACCACTGGAATTAAAATCATTATTACAAGCTAACCGTTTTGAATCTAGCTATGGCAAGCAGATAGTTTTGACCACTGGCCGAATATGTTTTTTTTAATATAATTATTTTGGATTATTTTTAACTTAAAAGTTACGGACAGCAGCTTTAAGCTAGGATAATAGAAAGCATTTTGACATAAAAAAACTACACCCTGTACATTTAAACCAACTACTCCTATCCATAAGATCAGCCAATCTGTTACTTAAAAGACATATCTGAATATTTGAAGCAGTATGCGGAATAAAATCATTTTGTAGATCTCTGGATCTGTTGCGCTTAGTTTCTATAGCGTATAACAGAAAGGAAGATTTGTGACCACAAAGTTGTGTTCGTTTTTTTTCTCCACCCTTAAAGGATTAGTTCACTTTTTAAAAAACTTTTGCTGATAATTTACTCACCCCCATGTCATCCAAGATGTCCATGTCTTTCTTTCTTCAGTCGAAAAGAAATTTATGTTTTTGATGAAAACATTCCAGGATTTTTCTCCATATAATGGACTTCAATGGTAGCCAAACGGTTCAAGGTCTAAATGACCGTTTTAGTTCAGCTTCAAAGGGCTTTAAACGATACCAGACGATGAATAAGGGTCTTATCTAGCGAAACGATCGGTCATTTCAAAAATAAATAAAAAAGTTAAATTGTTATAGGCACAAATGCTCGCCTTGCGAACTCTCCTGTTCGAACTCGTTCATCAAAATGAACGAATCTTTTTTCGAGTCATTGACTCGTTCATCAAAATGAACGAATCTTTTTTCGAGTCATTGACTCGTTCATCAAAATGAACAAATCTTTTTTCGAGTCATTGACTCGAAAAAAGATTTGTTCATTTTGATGAACGAGTTCGAACAGGAGAGTTCGCAAGGCGAGCATTTGTGCCTATAACAATTTAACTTTTTTATTTATTTTTGAAATGACCGATCGTTTCGCTAGATAAGACCCTTATTCATCGTCTGGTATCGTTTAAAGCCCTTTGAAGCTGAACTGAAACGGTCATTTAGACCTTGAACCGTTTGGCTACCATTGAAGTCCATTATATGGAGAAAAATCCTTGAATGTTTTCATCAAAAACATTAATTTCTTTTCGACTGAAGAAAGAAAGACATGGACATCTTGGATGACATGGGGGTGAGTAAATTATCAGCAAAAGTTTTTTTAAAAGTGAACTAATCCTTTAAAGAAACTTAGTCAACACCCATGATCCTTTACAGCTCTCCAAGTTCACGTTCCTTCAACATGTCATCATTATATGCAGGCCATGTTTGATTTTAATAATCAAATAAAGGTTCTTTATAGCATCCATGGTTCCTTGAAGAACCTTAAACATTAGTGGAAACTTTCTACTGCACAAAAGGTTCTTTATAGTGGAAAAAGTGTTCTTTAGAATAGATTATTAAAATGTTCTTCACTTTAAGAATTTTTTTTTTTTTAAGAACTGTTCTTTTATGGCCTCACTATGAAATCTCTGTTTTGAAACCTTCATCTTTAAGAGCATACTATTCAGAGAACTTAGTTGTCTACATGCAAATACAAGACTTTATTTAATTATAAGACTTACGAGCGGATAGAGATCTCAGGCCTTCAGCCAGAAGTTGACTGACCTTGAGATGTGAGGCCAGAAATCCTATAGAGCTAAATATAGAGAGAGAAAGTAGACCGAAAGCATTTATTCTTTAATGTGAACATCCTGGCGTCAATAGGATTAGGTTGCACCGGGGGAACTTGGCCAAGGGTCTTACATGTGCAACAAACATTATGGCAAGCAAGACCAAGATTAGGCTTCACCGGGGCATTGGAACAAAGGTCCTATGCCATAGTACTAAAGGTAAGTGGGATGAGAATGGATTAATTATGGAGTCTAGCCTCCTCCTCTGTCTCTGATTGGATAAGTCAGAGAATCATGAGACTGTTAAGTATATGTAGTAGAGATTGCATGAGGGAAATGTTTCAGGAGGAAATCAGATTTGATAAATTGCTGTATTTCAGGGAAAGGGAAACGTATGCTTATGTGCATGTGTGGGATACAGACAGAATGGGTGAGAATAGCTTTACTGGCTTACTCCAGATAATGGAGTTTCCTGAAGCTATATTTACAGTAAGTAGAAGGACATCCTGCAGTTATAGTCCACTCCTTCACTTTTGCTTTTTAAAGAGGTTCATCCAAGAATGTTAAATCTATCAAATCTCATTTGAACTTCCACATATTTAAACTTTACACATGACTCTTGGAGACATATGCAAGAACTAATGCCGTTTTGCATCACTCACATCCAAACTAGCGCAACACCTGGCTGAAACTGTTCGAAAAACTCAACCCAATATCTCTGCTTTTAAAACTGGGATAGGATCAAGTGTTTTATGATAATGACACAATAATAAGCAGGAACTTTATCTGGTTCAGGTCTTTGAATAGACATATTTCATTCATTCTGATTTCTTGGTATAGTAAAAGTTGATTAGGTTATGAAGTGTGATCTTGATCTGATGGCTCATCTTGGCACATCCGAGTTTTGATACATGAGTGTCATACTCTACTTTGTTTCTCAGGTGAACACATGCTTTCAACAGAAAATGGGTTTGTTGAAAAGGAACAGTGGGTTAAATAATGAGATATTTGATTATTACAGATTTAACTATCAACAAAAATATAGCACTTTCTGCATATGGATTTGGTATTGGTTTCTAGCAATCCACTTCCACAATGCAATTCCCTTCACTTCAAGTTCGTTGGTTTCCTCGTATTGGATATTCAGACTTTACCCTCTTTTCTCCTGCTGAAGAGCTGTTACTAACTTCATCTTGAGTTAGACATTACTTATATCTGCTCGGTCATCCTCACGTATCCGAGTTTGTCACGGATGTCGAGTGTGGTTGTGAAGGTCGTTGCCTGTGTAATGCTACTCTTGAAAAGCTGATTGTGTGGTCTTATTTAACTACTGTATAACATAAGCATCCATCCAATGAAAAAAGTGTGAGCTATGTAAACTCTTCACTGTAGCGAATGCAGTGTTTTTGTGTGAGGTCTGTATCCTGATGTAACACCTGTATTGAGATGGTGTTTTCAATAGCTGGATAAAAGAATTTTAAATGAGTCATATTCAAGCATAGGCTGGTGCTCTTACAACTTGACAGCAAGACCAAGTAATATATTTTGTTGCTGCACATTCCATAGCATAACAACATTAGATCAATGAAGATTGAAGAGTAAAAATATCTATTTAGGAATTAATAAAGCCAGGGGGTCGGCAAGAATTTGAGAGTTTTTTTTTCAATTTTATTATTATTATTTTTTTTTACAAAATGTATTCTAGGGCCGTCAAAGTTAATGTGTTTTAAGATATATATATATATATATATATATATATATATATATATATATATATATATATATTTAAAATAAATTTAATTCTGCTTTAAAAAAAGGTTAATTGATCAATTGCATTACTGTCTAAAGGAGTAGTTTATAACTGAGGGTAAACGACAAATATGCATATAGTTTTGTAAAAAATTTTTTTTTCATAATTACAGATAGGCTACACTCTTAACTTTTATAAAAAAGATAATTTGCTTTAGTACCATGCCAGTTATTACATTTTGGAAACACTTAAAAGTTTGGAAACCCCTGAATTAAGGTTTGTTTATGTAAAGTTGAAAGTATTTTGCATAAGTGCCTCCATTGCTCTTTTTCTGATATAATCACACCTGGGACCTTACACACCTTCATTTGTGTGTCCTTTCGATTGGCAGAGGTTACATTTTTTCCCTGGCTCTGCTTGCAGAAGTGGCAGTAGACCAAGTATTTACTCTGTCCTTTTCCGTGATCCTGTGCTGGCATGTAGCCTCTTGCACTCTTTATGACCCTCTTATGTTATCATATCATCTTACCATGTATAAACACCCATATACATTACAAGAGCAAGCTTAGGACACTGGTTTGTACCTTCAGATGTTTGGGCATGGTGTTCTTGGAGCTATGTGACATTACTTTGTGGGCCCATGCCCATCCTTATTTATAGTAGTCTCATATGTGTAGTGTGTACTGTGTGATATAGTTATGATATCTGATGTTTTTTCTTGTCTCTGACTCTCTTTCAGGAAAGTTGTCAGAAGGCGTATGCTTTAACTGCACTGCACTGCGGTTAGCCACAAACAGGTAAATGGAACTGAACATTGGGTCAATAACGCGCAATTTAGTCCTGATCTATTTGTAAAGAAATACATAAAAAAGTGATTTTTTTTTTACATACAACGGATTGAATACACCTTTCTATAATGAGCATGTTTTTTTTATTTCTAATTTAAAATTAATTTAGATTTTTTTAAAGGGGGGGGGGGGGTGTAATAATAAAAAATAAAAATAAAAATTAGTGATTAAAAAAAGGAAATGATTCTTTAAATAAGAAACTAAATCCGCTTGGAGGTGAAGTAATTGAGTCATTCATTCAAACTGGCTGATTCATTGAATCATTCAATAAACAGATTTTTTCGAAATGTGGATTCATTCAGTAACGAAGCATTGCTTTGTGTTTCTGGGAGACATAAAACAGTATCATTTGGAAATTTAATTGACAAAATAAAGCAAAAACAGAAAATATTGTGTCTAAAATGTAACTTTAAAATGTTAACTTATTGTTTATTAAACTCTTGATATATAATCAATATTATTGTACTGTTTTCTTTTTGATTCTTTCAAATTGGGTCTTCATTGAAAGATTGTATTGACTGATGAATGATGTCTGTTTTCAGCAGCCATGGTGTTCTTGGAGGCAACATGTGGCCTCATGTCTCATCTGTCCTGTACCTTGACAATTCATCAGCACTTCAGCAGCGCTTGTCCAGGTCACCTCGCCTTTACTGCGCCGTCTTCGTACCTGACCCTGCCCTGCCTGTGCACACCCACTCCACATATCCCAGGACGCTAGCCTGGCCACAGAATACCCCAGTCCGGTGGGTACATACTACAGGCCGTCTCCATGATGATTCAAAGGTAGAGCGTTCTTTGCGTACACTGAAAGATCGCAATAAAAAGCTTGAAGAGGGAGGACCGGTGTACAGTCCGACAGTGGATGCAGAACCTGTGCGACGGACAATACGTCAACGCGTGATTGATGAAGTGAAGCACTATTATCACGGGTTCCGCTTATTGTGGATAGACACGACCATCTCCGTGCGGATGCTCTGGAGGGTGCTGAACGGACACATTCTGTCACGCCGGGAGAGGAGACAGGTATGTACAAAATTAAACAAGGCAGACACCTCAAAGGCTTTTTAAGGGGTTGGCACTGATTCTAGTGTGTAATTTAGTAGCATCAACTCAATTTCAATTTCAATAAAAAAATAAAAAAAACAGAACAAAAAAAAAATTCTGACAAAAATAATTCCGAATAAAACAGAAATAGAGAACATTTAAATAAAACATAGAAAGAAGTGAAAATTGTATAAATAAATAAAATAATTAAAAAATACAAAAAAATAATTAGATTTTTTTTTTACATTTATTTGGTATTTATATCACGTAAACTATTTTTCTGTCTGCTATTTTTTGTTTTTATAGTTACATTTCATATTTTAGGAGTAGGGTCTTTCACAAAGGAATCCTTATTTTTGGTTGTCCTTGGCATCAAAAAGTGTGGAAAAACCCTGTCCTAGAGTGTCTGCCATTGGAAGACTGAGTTGATAGAATTGCACCTTCCCAATCAGTCTCCCTCCGTGCTAATACGTGTTAGATAATAACTGTACCCTGACTCCTGGAAGTTGCGTAGCTAGCAGCTAGCCAATCAGATTGGAACATTAGACAAAGTTGAACTCTGCTCAAATATCTTTAAGAGAGAGTTCATGACAGCATGATTGTGTTCAAGTGCTTGAGATTTGGCAATTATAAAGTAGACATCAGACACTTTGGTCTGTAACTGCAGTACTGATTTACGAAATGCTAGTATTTGCGATGAAACTTCCTTCCTATAATTATTTAATAGAAAATACTTATTTAAAAGGAAACTCATATTGTACCACCCTGGGCTTGAGTAACGCTTGTACGCATAACTGTCTTTGACCTGTCAGTGCTTATGTAGTTTTTCATGGTGTAATTTAAATGGTTTGTTTGTCTGTCATTGCCCTGTGGTTTTACCCAGTGTAATGTAATTAAGTCGTATATAGTAGGATTTGGAGTTGAAGGGTTAGAATTCTTCCGTAGTTTAATCCCAGTCCTATAAAGCCTGCCTGGATCTCTTCTATAGCTTAATGATTTAAATTAGTGCCCTGCTGAGTCTTCAGGGAAAAGTCATTAAAGATTACTCTGTAAGTCAGAAGGCAAGTGGAAACTGAATACATTCTAATCAGTTCACATGACTTCTGGGATTCCTGAACCCTTTAAAGGGTTAGTTCACCCAAAAATAAAAAATTCTGTCATCATTTACTCACCCTCATGTCTTTCCAAACCTGTAATACTTTGGTTTCTGTCCTTCCATTGACAGCTACGCAACTACCACTTTGACATTTCAAAAAGTTCATGAAGATATTGTAAAACTAATTCATATGATTTGAGTGGTTTTGCCCAAATTTTCTGAAGAGACCTAATCACTTAATAATCTGAACGGATTTAATTTAGGCTTTTATTCACATATAAACATCAACACACACATCAGTTGTGGTAAAGGGAAGCTCAAGCATGTTCACTTGATGTGCAAGAACCATTGAGGTTCATTCTCATGTTATGCAGAACGTTTGAGCTTCAGCAAGAAACAATAAGGTTTTTTTTTCTCGTGCTTCAATCAGGTTTGGTTGAGCTTCTGTTTATGTTCACTGATCAATGTTTGTATGTGAATAAAAACCTCATTTCAATCTGTTCATCATATAAAGCGATTGATTCTCTTCAGAAAATTTGGACTAAACCGCTCAGTTCATATGGATTAGTTTAACGATCTCTTTATGAGCTTTTTGAAGCGTCAAAGTGGTAGTTTACTTTTTTATCAGATTTTATCAAAAATATCTTAATTTGTGTTCCGAAGATGAATGAAAGACTTATGGTTTTGGAACGACATATGGGTGAGTAAATGATGACAGAATTTTTATTTTTGGGTGAACTATCCCTATTAGATGATCCTTTTGGGTCCAATTTAACAACACTTTTGAACAAAATTAAATAATATTTAGATTTAGTTATAGATATATTTAATTCTATCCATTCATTAAAAAAAATGCAACCATTCATCCAAAGAATTCAACCATCCATCCAAAAATGTTAACCATCCATCCATCCATCCAAAAAAAAATGTATTAAAAAATTCAACCATCCATCCATCCATCCAAAAATTTAACCATCCATTCAAAAAATTCAACCATCATTTTATAACCCTGCAGACGTCCTGGTCCCTCTAGTTGTTACTTGTAAGGTGCTGCTTTAGAAGAGCTCTACTTTTGTTATTTTAACTTATTAAAAGAAAATTACATAAGACGGGTGTGGTTTTCTATCATGTCCTCCTTCAATCTGATTCTTCTTATCCTTCATCTCTCCCTTTCTGAGTAGTTTAATGATTGATAGATCAATACAGCTCACTTTGGAACCTAGTTGGCCACTAGCCCTGGCTGACTCCAGTAAAGCGATGCCCCCCTGAGATATGTTGTCCTTAGGACAGAAGTAAACGTGAGGTTAGTTGAGGCCCATGTGCATTAGCTTTATGGTCATTAGGTGCTATTACCTTTATTGAGCTATGAAACTTCAAATTTCAACCTGGCGAACAATAAAATTGGTGAAAAAATACCGGTAAACCTATTAAGGACTTTGACTTGGGCCAGTGAGATACTACTCAGATCACCCTATTAGTCATGGCAACATGGATACAATTTGTATACGGCAAGCAGAGAAGCTCACATTTTAAGAAAAAATCAACATACCGGTAGTCTACACTGCTGGGTCAATTTGATTCAAATGTTTGGGGCCAGTTCCATTTTCATTTATTTATTTTATTTCAGCAAGGACCGATTAAATTATTCAGAATGGACCCTTTATAATGTTAAAAAAGATTACTATTTTAAATAAATGCTGTTATTTTAAACTTCTATTCAACAAAGAATAAAAAAAAAATGATCACAGTTTCCACAAAAATATTAAGCGGCACACCGGTTTTCAACATTGATAATAATAAGAAATGTTTCTTGAGCATTAAATCAGTATATTATGATTTCTGAATGACCATGTTATGGCTCTTCTGTATTGTATTTGAGTTTTCAAGCACACAGCTGATTGTAGCTATCACATGTTTTATTACATGTCGTCTCTGTTAGCACAGTGCTAATACCTTCCCAGCCTCAAATTCTCAGACTGTCTCATGACTCGGCCTGTTGTAAATTGACACTCTAGTGAGTGACTATCTATAACCGTATGAAGCCTCTATTGCATTCTAAGTCACTACGTACTGGAAATGTCTCATTCTCTCCGAACAAACGGTCTATCTTTGGGTTGCTAGGATATTAATGCCCAACATTATCCATTACATTACTCATTTACTCATATCATTTCTCCATAGCCATGGCAATATTATCGAGGAGTTATGTTTGGTTTCGCTCTGGTAATGGTCATATGAAGCTACAGAGATAGAACTTACAAAAATTTTGTGTTCTGGAGAATGTTTTGAAATCATTTGCGAAAATGATTTCATAACGAAAGTATCTCTATTATTCCTTATACTTTGTAACGTATAAGTTCAGTGTTTTTGTTGGTTTTAAAGCTTCAGATTTGCTGTTCTTGTTTGTAGGGCTATAATAATAATAATAATTGCACTGTAAAATGAATGTATTATTATTACTACTAGTACAACTGCTAATACGACTAAATTTAAAACATTAATCAAAATGTTAAACATTACTGTTGGATACTTAATAAAAATGTAAAATGAGTATTTATGAAACCATTATTATTATTTTACAGTACAAATGTAAAATTAAAATGCTATTATTTATGGCTATAAATGTTAAACCATCATGCTTTTCCACGGGCAAGCACCTTTCACATTTTCTTCAAAACATCTACTAACTTAAAACAAGCAAAAATCATATCACATTCCTAAAGCATTGGTAGATAGTTTTTCCACAGCATTTGAACTTAAAACATCCACAGCTAGTGTAATACTCATGTTTAGGTAGTCATGGTTAGTTGTTATCAAGAGCTTACTGGAGTTTTCTTTATATTTTGAGCTCTGTCAACATTAGAATTGCGAGGTATGCTAATGCCTCCGCCTCAGCTAGCATCTGTCTCACCTCACTCTCGCTATTCTTCTGACCTGCTTCATCCTTAATCCTGCCTATTCACAACTGGCCTCGCACAGCATGGGTTCCTTTAGCTTTTGATGTCAGTCATCATCCCCCTTCCCAAGCCCTCTGTCCTGCTCTCTCCCTGCCTCTTCCTTTGGAATGCCCTCACTCTCTTTCTCCATCTTCACTCACTCTTCCCCTGAATATTTCACACTCCAGGCCTGTTTTCCTCTTCTCTTCCCCCTCACATGCTCTCTGTCTCTCTGTCTGTGGTGATACATGTCAATGGGCCAAACACAAAGGCTCTTTTCAGGCCTGCCTGGTTTAAATTCTTTCCTATAGGGCCGCTGACACACAGGTGGAATAAGTAGAGCAGGGACCCCTCTTATAAAGCTGAAGCTCCTTTGTTATATAACCTCTCATTTTCTAAATTCATCATGTTTCATCAATTATTAGATATGGCATGATGCAGGAAGTCAGTTATTGACATACGGAGTGGATGCACCGATGTCCTGACTTTGTTGGTCTCTGTTGGTATCATCATGATCTGTACATGATTCTTTATTTTGTTTTATTATTTTTTTGTTGCTGTTTTGTTTTAGAGCTGTCAATTTTTCACTCGTCCAGGTTATTTAAAAAAAATAGCTTCAATAAAATATAGGGGTGTAACGAAATCCTCATGTCACGATTCGATACATATCACGATACTGAACTCACGATACGATATTATTGCGATACTCCAAGACATATGATAAAAGGTTAACAAAAAATATACTGTTGATTAAAATGCTAACTTTGATATTACATTGTGTGTGTAAATGAATAGGCTTGAACTCTGTGCTTTTAACTCAAGGACAATGGTGACACCAGAATAAAAATATTCATGATTCTGAAGCTGAAAATACAGAACGATTTTAGAATATTCTTGCACTTTTTCACTGACTAGATATATTTCAAATAATGTTGGACACTTTTTACTGGTCAGGTAACATTTGGTATTATCAGGACCCACAAATATTCCCCCATTGCATTATTATACATTATAATCAACATTATATATAGTAGTTTAATGTAGTACTGACACTAAAAATCTGAAAACTTGAATTATTTTCTCACACAGTACATTTTTTGGGGGGAGAACTATCCACGATACATATTGTCACTATCCACGATACGTATTGTTGCATTTTTGTATTGCGATATATTGTGGCACGATATTGTTACACCCCTAATAAAATATATTAATTTTTTTTACATTTATGTTACAAAGTATTCTAACAATGATTTATATCATATTATTTTTAAAAGCACCATTAGGGTTTTTACTTCACTATTAGGTCTAGACGTTAGGCATATCACCACTGATCAATAATTACGTTTCATCAATAAGCAGCCATCTGCTAACATCACTGCTGTCTCATGTTAACTGCAGTTCCTCAGGACGTGTGCAGATGTCTTCCGGCTTGTGCCCTTTTTGGTCTTTATCATCGTTCCATTTATGGAGTTTCTGCTTCCTGTTGCAGTGAAGCTTTTCCCAAACATGTTGCCTTCCACCTTTGAGACACAGTCCATAAAGGTATGCTGACCTTTTGAGTTTTAATCCATAAAAACCTTAATTGTATTTCTGTCTTAGTCATGCCTCTTATGCCAAACCTATGTGACATCATATGATATCTCGCTCTTATGCTCTGTCTTGTGCGTGTCTGTGTGTGTGTGTGTGTGTTTTGCAGGAGGAAAGACTGAAAAAGGAGCTGAGAGTGAAGTTAGAGATGGCCAAGTTCTTGCAGGATACAATTGAGGAGATTGCACTAAGAAACAAAGCAGCTAAAGGCAATGTAACCGAGGAGTTCTCCACTTTCTTTCAGAAGGTAGATGATGGTCACGCATGCTCAGCTCTCATCCTAAAAAACAACTTTGCTGCTTCTCCATGTGATTCAAAACTCAGCTCTGTATTGCCCCCATGTGGTGATTCTTATAAAGTGCTCTTAGACGAGACGATACTCATAAGTGCTATGAATGAGAACTTCTTTGTCTGCTAACTCTCTCTGTCTTCCCCTTTCAATTCCCACCCAGATCCGTGACTCTGGAGAGAGACCCAGTAATGAGCAGATCATACGTTTCTCTAAGCTGTTTGAGGATGAACTGACCTTAGATAATCTGACACGGCCGCAGCTGGTGGCCTTGTGCAAGCTGCTGGAGCTGCAGTCCATTGGAACCAACAATTTCTTGCGCTTCCAGCTTATCATGAAACTCAGAGCCATCCGTGCAGACGACAAGGTTAGAACCTGTCCTTACTCAGCCAAAGTTGTGTGTCAAGATGGGTCAAATACTTTTCTTTGTGATCATCATTTATATCAATTATAGTACGTCAGTTTTTACAGATGAATCATTTAATTAAAATAAATGATCATCTAATCAATTGAAATAATTGTCCGGTCCCCGTGTTAGATTATACTGTACTATATTTAATGTGAAAATTTGAGTTTGTTAAGATTTTTTGGTCTCACTTTATTTTAATGTCCAATTCTCGCTATTAACTAACTAGTAACTATGAATTTTGTCTCAATAAACTCCTAATTACTGTTCAATAATAGTTTGTACGGTAGTTGTTAAGTTTAGGTATTGGATAGGATTAGGGATGTAGAATGTGGTCATGCAAAATAAGGCATTAATATTAGGGATGGCCCGATACCGATACTGGCATCGGGGATCGGGCCGATACTGTCCTAATATACTCGTACTCGTACTCATTAAAATTCGCCGATACCACGCACCGATACCACGTACATTTTGCAAAACGAAACTGGCCGCCGCGAGTGCTTTGTCGAGGTGAACTGAGGCATAGGAAAGTATAATGTCGGCGGTTTGGGCTCATTTCAAGATAAGGGGTGATGACAACAGCAAGGCAGACTGTGAGTTATGTTCAGCTAAGGTGTCGAGAGGAGGGAAAGAAAGTACATCGTTTAACACCAGCAATCTAATTAAACATCTGAAGACGCATCATAGATCTGATGGCCGAGCGCGCGCGCGGGCGGTAATGCACTCACTCTGTGTGTGCGGGTTACGGGAGAATAAAACGATTCGCGGGACTCCCGCAAACTAGAAATATCTATGAATAAAACATAAAAACTAAAAGATTTTTATTCATCTCTTGCAGAAAAGCAACAAGAACAACTACAACAAAATAGAAACGATTTACAGGCCAGAGTTTCTATTCATAACATGGTTACAGCGTTGAGCGATGTAGCCAATCACAGACATATGTGTTGATTTCTTGAACGCAATGGCCAATCAGAAGCATTTAAGATAGACTCCCCTCACCGCTCAAAACGGACTTTTTTGTTCAGTGCTGAATTCTGTATGCTGGCAAATCCTCTAATTATAACAAACAAAGTGTGGATATTATGAAAGATTGATTGTGCAGTCAGCTTCATTGATAATAACAGAGATGTGTGAGATCGCGATGAACTGTCAGCTTTTAGGATTTATTAAGGGTGCGCACTTTGCGTGCATTCAGTCATGCCCATGCACGCAGTAGCCTGCTTGCTTTTATGTTAAATTAACAGTGGTTTGTGTGTTAATAAATTTATTATTTTACTAATTTTTATTTATTTTTAGACTTGTTAAAACAAGCAGAGAAGAAAATAAAAACAGTCTTCTAACCTGTGTTCTAAAATAGTCGTCTTCTTTTCTGGGAGCCTATTACTTTTGCGGTAGAAATATCGGTATCGGTACTCGGTATCGGCAAGTACACAAATGTAAATACTCGTACTCGTATCGGTTTGAAAAAAAATGGTATCGGGCCATCCCTAATTAATATGTGCTTTATAAGTACTAATAAACAGCAAATATCCTTGTAATATGTATGATAATAAGCATCTAGTGAGAATTGGACCCTAAAATAAAGTGTTACCAAATTTCTTTTAAAGACGTCTCCTATGTCACCAAGGCTGCATTTTATTTGATCAAAGATACAGTAAAAACAGTAACATTGTGAAATATTATTACAATTTAAAATAAGTGTTTTGTTTTTTAAAATTATTTTAAAATGCGATTTATTGATGTAAAGCTGAATTTTTAGCATTATTACTCCAGTCTTCAGAGTCACAATAGAAATTTCAAAAGTAATCAATAGAAAGTTCAAAAGTAAAGCATTTATTTCAAACAGAAATCTTTTGTTACATTATAAATGTCTTTACTGTGTCTTTTGATCAATTGAATGCATCCTTGCTCCTTAAAAGTATTAATTTCTTCAAATAAAATTCAAACAGTGGCCTAGTGTGTATACATTTGTTTTTTTTAAACAACTACTCATAGTGGCCACATTTGTGAAACTTCAAAAAGAAATCAAAACCATTAAAGTACTTTTAATACTTTATGTATTTGGTGTATAAGAGTTCAAAGCAAATTAAAACGATTATCAGCAATCGTATTGGCTAGAATGTCTATATCAGTTTATTCCTAGCTGATTTCTTTGCACATGTGTGTGTGATTGACAGCTGATAGCAGATGAGGGAGTGGACAGTCTGAATGTGAAAGAGCTGCAGTCAGCATGTCGTGTGAGAGGGATGAGAGCTCTGGGTGTGACGGAGGAGAGACTTCGAGAGCAGCTTAAACAGGTAACACATGCTCCACATCCCTCTGTTATTGTTACTCCCCAGTAATACGTCTTCTCATCATGTATTTCACATTTCTGATCATGAAAGTGGTTGGAGCTTCATCTCAATCAACACATCCCCACATCTCTGCTGCTGCTATCCCGAGCCATGTTCCTGCCAGACACACTGTCCCCTGCAGACCAGCTTAAAACCACACTACAGAACCTGCCAGAGATCATGGTATGCACACAGTACAGCTGGACAATACACTATATACAAAAATTGCATTAAATATAGGTTAGCTTCATGAAAAATACAGTCATACATACAGTCAGTGCCTTCACGTGTGCTTTCACAGGCTAAAGAAGCGCAGATGAAGGTGGCAGAGCTGGACTTCTCTAAAGTGGATAACAAGACCAAGCTGGAGGCCACGCTACAGGAAGAGGCAGCCATCCAAGAGGAAAACAGAGAGCGGGAGCTGGAGAGACTGGCAGATGCTGCAGAGAAAGTGAAGGAACTGGCCGCACAGGTCATTACAGTCACTTTCAGTCTGGCAGTGATACCTGTTGTATAGTTGAAATGTTTATGAAAGGTTTATTTATGTTTCCAGGAGGGTGAGATGGTGGAGTTGGAAGCAAAACGACGGGTGGATGCAGAACATTCTCTTTCCAGCGTAGACGTGGCCATCCATTCAGAAACACTACGAGATACTGCACCCGTGCTGGAGGGTATTAAGGTAACAAAATGACACAAAGATAGTTTCTTCTCTTAAATCCCATTATTAACAAGAAACAAAATATTTACATGAAAACACAATGTGATGATAAACTTTGTAAATGTGCCCTATTGTTCAAAATTTTGGGGTCAGTATTTAAAAAAAGAAAAAGAAATTAATATTCAAATTCAGCAAGGATGCATTTTATTTTTCAAAAGGGACAGTAAAGTCATTTAAAATGCTACAAATGCTGTTCTTTTGAACTTTATTCATCAAAGAATCCTGAAAACATTTATCAGTTTACACAAAAATATTTAAACAGTTATTTTCAATTGGAACATGTCTTTTGATCAATTGGACAGTCTGAATGTGAAATTGGATACTGTATTTTTCAACTGTATTTTTCAACTGTATTTTCAACTGTATTTTTGATTACAATATTACTTTTTTGATTGTATTTTTGATCAATTTTTGACTTCTTTCCAAAACATTAAAACAATCTTACTGACCCCAAACATTTGAACGGAAGTGTTCTTTACTAATGAACTGTTAAGCATTATAAAATAATATTTGCTAATATGAGTAATGTAAGCTATTATAAAGTGTTTTTATAACCCTATTTTTATAACCCTACAATATTACTTTTTTGATTGTATTTTTGATCAATTTTTGACTTCTTTCCAAAACATTAAAACAATCTTACTGACCCCAAACATTTGAACGGAAGTGTTCTTTACTAATGAACTGTTAAGCATTATAAAATAATATTTGCTAATATGAGTAATGTAAGCTATTATAAAGTGTTTTTATAACCCTATTAATGCAAGTCAGTCCACTCAATGGCCCTTTTGGCCATGCCTTCAGTCAGCTATTTTCTATCTTGGTAATAAACTTATTTATTACCAAGATACCAAATATAGCCCCATTCTGCTTGAATGGGGAAAAACAGAAACATCCAAAACGACTACAATACCAAAAATGGTTTAGCAGTCTTTTATATTAAATTATTTCAGCTAATGCACTTAAACTTTCCAGAGCAATAAGATAAGGCAGGACTTAATGCAGTTCTTTGCAGTTTACATGACAATAATTCTGACGGTGCTCTGCATTCGTCCTTCATACCTTCTCTGGTGTTACTTATGACTGTGTTGTTTGTTTGCTGTCATGTTACAGGAATGGCTCTTTCTCTGTTATTATGTGTTGTGTATTATTTTGGATGTTTATTTCTCCAGTTCGAGCAGTGGCAGAGGTATCTGCGCATTCAGGTTAGATGCTGAACTGCTCCCCATCTGGAGACCACCACACTGATGCTCTGCTCTCCTAGTCACTTTACTGTGGGCTTTTCCATCATTTACAGTTTCATAATCTGAACTGTTGGTTTAGGGTTAGGCTTAGACTCTTGTAACGCTTGTTATTTACAGCATAAGAGGCACAAAAATGACTGAATCAAATATGCTGTTGCGTGAATACAGTGATTTAAAAGAGCAGAAGTCTTGTGTGGTTATGCCTGCGTCCTCCTTTCCACTCCACTCCAATTCTCTGTCCCTTTATGAGTATGTGTGAGCCTGTAGGACATATGTAAGATGCTGTAAATCCTAATGGTTGTTTGTCTTATGTGGCTCAGAGGCCCACTACATAAGCCGTACGATGTGTTTCAGTTGGTTTTAGTGAGCTTTCTGTAATCACTTTTGCTGAATGGAAGACCTTCCTTTCCTCTGACTGATCCTCTTATAAAAGAGAAACCACTTTTATGTCTCTGCATCAGTGTTGGGTAACTTAACTACACTTTTCAAAAGTGTGACCTGTAGTTCAAATGTTTTCCAGCGTTGCTTTTCCAATAACAAGTTACACTACCATTAAAAAGTGTGGGGTCAGTAAGATTTATTTATTTTATTTTTTTGTACTTTTATTCAGCAAGGATTCATATAAAGTGACAGGCAAATACATTTATAATGTTAGACAACTGTTTTAAAGATTTGAAAACTAAAAAAATTAATAATAATCTTACCAACCCCAAACAGTGGTGTGTATTCCCATCAAGCAGCAGTGTAGATTGACAATTTTATTGTGTTGTCTTACAACAAAGCAAGCTGAGGCAATAATAAAATGTTCCCAGCAAGAATATATGCGATAGTCAGAGTATTCATCATTTAGATATTTATCAGTTTGTGCACAGTTCATATCATAAATGAAATGCTGCTGTTTATCATCATGTATTCAAATCAGTTATATAGAACATTTTTATACAGTTCATTGAATTTATCTAGATTAATTATTGTGTATACATTTTGTTTTAAATGTATATTTAGTGCTATGCCATCTAATCAAAATCCTCATAGGTTTAGTGCCAAATAGTTAATAAAATAATAATTTAATAAAACAATCTTTTTGTTTAAAGGCTAGCTCAACTGTAACTACCGTGTAGCTTGAATATTGGTGACTATAGGGATCCGAACCTACAGTGATTTAAGCAAGGTTTTGGAATAGATGATGCTATTAAGTTATTTTATTTGGAAAAATAGCTTTAGCTAATTAAATAAAAAAGTTACAAAGAATTTCCATCCATTTTATATACATTTCATCCCTAAAAGTATTTGTTATAGACTATACAATTTCTGGCATTTGCACCTAACTCTCACTTGCACCAAAAAATCTACCACTGATTCAAAGTTTCCCCAACACTGCTGTGCATGTTTGTTAAATGTGTGTGTTCACAGGAGTGAGTGTTGATGGACACTGTGTGTGTCTTTTTTCAGGGGGAGGAGATCACTAAGGAGGAGATTGACATGCTGAATAATGCCTGCACCAAACTGAAGGAGCAGAAGAATCTCCTCACCAAAGAGAAAGAGGAGCTGGAGGACCTAAAGGATGATGTGCAGGAGTACAGCGAGGTATGTCTTCCAAAAGAGACAATCATTAACAAACGGTTCATTTTCATTTCTGCCATAAACATTTAAACGTGTGATCCACTGTTTCTCTCTACAGGACCTGGAGGAGATAAAGCGAGAGCTATCCAAGACGGGACAGGAGAAAGTGGTGGAGTCTAAGGCAAGTCAACATCTGTCAAAGCGAGTCAACCGCATGATTGGAAGAGTGGATAAGATCATCACTGAGCTGGAGAAGGACAAGGTGGTGTTAGACGGACAGATGGACAGCAGCACCACACCACCAATTGGGTAAGAGACTTTGATTTGCTGAACGAATGGAATTGGGCGATTTTTAATGGTGATTTTGGTTTCTGTGTGTGTGCATGGGAGTATCCACGTTACATCATCAGTAATGCATGAAGAGAAGTTGTAATCACAGTAAAATGGTGGTGGAAGAATGACCTTACAGGTTGTAAACACAAACCAAAAAAAGGGTTCCCAGTCCAAATAAAAAATCATTTTTTGTTGTTTTTTAGATTGTTCTTTGAGAAACATAGTGACTTGCCAAGGTAAGCACAGGAGTGACCTCTCGCCTTCTGTTTCGTTTCCCCATCAAAGGAATGAGTTTAAAAATTAAAAAACAATATGGATTTAACACTCGGGATGCTCCGAAATGAAAATTCTGGTCCAAAACCGAAAATTCTAGATGCACCTGGACGAAAGCCGAAAATTCTTTTTAAGAATTCTTTTTTTTTTTTTTTGCAATATTGGAAAAATATTTGTATAATTGTATTAATATTAGATTTTTTAAGAAAATTCAATAATTGTAATGATTCTAAATGTAAAAAAAATACAAGCCAATAAAATAAAATCCACACATTTATTAAATTAACACTAAAATTTGACCGAACGGAATAAAGAATAATATATTGATATTTATTATTAATATATTTTCTATGCAACAGAATCAGATTTAACAGATTTATTTTTTGACCAATTATCCATGATATTATCCATTATATATTATCATCAGAGCATGTGAGCAAAGCGTAGCATTAGTGAACAAGAGGGTGGCGTCATTTTACCAGGGTTGCCCAGCACAGCTATACCACAGTACAGTAGGGCTATTCCACACAGAAACAAGTATATTACTACATAGTACCGAAAATGCCATTATCGGCCAATCATTTTCGGCAGCCGAAATTTCGGAGCATCCCTATTTAACACAAATACTAAATATTTTAGGGGGTCTAAAGTGTGATTTAATTTGATTGAAGATTTTAATCCATCATCGGTTTGCTTGTCATTTCTTTCACTAGTCCTGTGTATTTCGTTAATGCTGGATGTTATGGATTTAATCAGCTGTGAGATTAGGATTGTTCTCTGAAATCTTCCTCTTGTTCATTGTTCCCAGTGCTGCAGGTAAAAACACGGATCACTTATTTTAAGGCCTTTTTTTTAGTCCTCTGTGAAACTACAAATAAGGCTTGAATGATTTAGTGAAAAATTCGTAAAGATTCGAGAATCAATTTCTAATTACGATTCGTATTAACTCCAAAAGCACTCGCAATCGTCTCTCCTGGGAACCCTGCACGGCTGTGTTGGCATGCGATTGGTTGATCATAGAACTTACTCATCCTCCACCATCTTACCCGCTGTGTTATCAAGCAACCGTTTCCTGTATGCAGTGTGTTCTTGTCCTATAGGGAGAATCTGATAAGCATCAACGAGCTAATTACAGTCATGAAGCATATCCAGAGTATTCCTGAACACAAGCTGCTCAGCATCGCAGACGCACTCGATGAAAACAAGGATGGCAAGATAGACATTGACGATGTCCTCAAGGTAACAAGATGGGGCTTCTTTGGTCACTCATTGATTTTCCTTCTTTTCCTGTTTGGTTGAATCAGCATTTTAGTTTGACTGACATTTATCTGGCGTGTGTGTGTTAGGTGGTAGAGCTGATCGACAAGGAGGACATCGATATCTCCACCAGCCAGGTTGCAGAGATCATGGTGATGCTGCAGAAGGAGGAGAAGTTGGTGGAGAAGGAGAAGGCCAAGGATAAGGTCGAGAAGGAGCAGGCAGCTAAACTCCAAAACTAGACTTACCGTGTAGGGAATGGAAGAGATCCTAAAGCTATTGAAGCTTTTTCAGGTGTAATAATATGTTCAGATTCAGAGTGAGGCTAAAAATAGTGCTGACCTCCACTCTGCATTCATATATATGAGCAAACTTTGCTTTGTTCAAATAAGACTATTGTATAATTAATGAACTGAGGGAAATGTATTTATTAGAAGGCAAAAGTAATTTAGTATGGAGCCCTGTACTGAAATTGAGGCCACGAGTTAAGAAAAAGTTCCCAACATTTGTTCCCTTGTTATGGGTAAATGATTTCCATGTTGTACTAATTTGTTCCCATGATTTATTGATTCGCTCCCTCGCTTTAGTTAAATTTGGGCAACAAAGTAGTACAAAGTGGAACTATTTAATAGGTGGTGGCTACGATATCTTACTTTTCCCTCAAATTTCATGTGCGGTGCGCTGTAAATTCAGAGATGAATTTGGAAAGAATGTTTGTTCATTTGTTCTCGAAAAGGCCCCCTCTTAAAGGTGGAGTGAGTCATTTCTGCGCCACTATTGGCACAAAACAAACTGTGTTTGAGCGGACTTGTTGGGCTGGACATAATGCTATCAGCTCAACCAATAGCGTGAGTTTGGGGAGGAATTATCAGTCATTACTTTTGTGGCACAGAAATTGCACGCTTCAGCTATAAGATGCAAAAAAAAAATTTTTGCTTTAAGAGTACCATAAATTTACACCCAGTGATGTCATTTCCTGAGATCTGAGGTCATTTCCTCTCTTTTGCACAATACATCACCTGCCACCATCATTCCACTGCTCATTCAGTTTGATTTAATTGCATTATTATTTCTTTTCAGTTCACAATCTTTTTTCATGAGCTTGTTGAATGTTGCTCAGAAGACATTGATATCTCACTCATGTTTATTCAGTAACCAAAGAAGGTTTGTTGCAGATTTTATGCTTCATTTATACTTGTACATACACATTCAAGCCACCAAGCACTGCAGCTTTATGTCACACACCAAAGGTATGACATAGTATTGGGATGTATATCTTCAGCACTGGAGATTTATTCAGGGCAGAAGTTTTTAGACTGACTTGAAGACGGTAGCTGAGTTAGATTCATAGTTTTTGATGTGCGTTGTTTATTCAGCTTTTATCTTGGGGTGATTTCAGCATCACATTTACATTGTGGCCTTAGCATTCAAAAATTCCTCAAAATCAAATCAAGGGAATAAATTGAGATAATAATATTTAACAGTTCAACATTGCTAGTATTTGCATTGTATGCTAACAGTAAATATCTGTGCATTGGGCGTCTCTGTTAGCTGGCTTGGATTAATGATAGATGAAGAGTGTTTGTAAGTGTGAAAGAGTACCTTGGAACCTGAAAGGCAAAAGATGGAGGTCAGTACAGAGAGAATCAGGGTACAGCTCAGCCATCCAGTCAGTATGTGGCCTGGATGATCGCTTATTCCTTACATGGAGAGAGCGGCAGCAGTTGTTCTCATTGCAGAGCACCTACACTAACTGGAATGTGTCGATCAGCATGAGACTCACACGCTTACTAGTGGCGTGAGTCTGGAAGCATAGTTTCACAGGGCACATACGGCCGGGAATACATCATCTTAACCCTAAACATGTCATGGCGAGGGACCAGCATGTCTAACCTCAAAGCACAGTTCCTGTGCTGTGTCTCAGACAGAGTGTCTAGGTGCCTATTTCACATTGTGTCCCTTAAAGGGATAGTTCACCCAGAAATGAAAATGTGGGTGAGTTTTTTTATTCTGTAGAACACAAAATGAGATATTAAAAAAAATTCTCGCTACTCTTTTCCATAAGACAAAAAAGCTCATAAATGATGACAATTTTCATTTTTGGGTGAACTATCCCTAACTTACCCGGGGGACCCTCAATTATAGTAACGGCATTTAGGCCTTTAACTATATTTATGAATTAGTATTATACCGTACCCTAGAAAAAGTCCCATGTTTTTTGTTTTTATTGAGCGAGTATTTTATGCTAATGTATAATTGCACTATATTCAGAACTTTAATTTTCCTATTTGGCGTGCCGATCTAGACTCAGGAAGATGCACGTAATGTCTGTTTGCACATTGAGAGATATTTTGGGGAAACTTGCACACTTGAATTTTTAAAGTGGTAGATATATGATGAATTTTGTAGAAAGGTATAAAGATACCTTGCAGATTGTGTTTTGTTTTGCGATTTTTAAATTTAAGTTCTCAGATTAATTTATAAAAGATGGTGCATGTGCACATAAGTGACCACAGACTGAATGGATTAAAGATATGATGTAATTATCCGTGGAAACTAATTTACTGCTTAAGCTAATTTAAATGGATTGAATATATTATTTATTTTCCCCTTATAAGGCCTGTACTTTGTGTCTTAGTATTTTTTTTTTTTTTTTGACTATTCTGTATTTGTTAGAAGGTTCAAACCCTAAATACTGTTACGCTAGTTAATTTGAAGACTGAACAATGGGTGGAAATGAGTGATGTGCAAAAAGGTTTTTGAAAATCAGTATGACTCAAAATAAGAAATTTATTTTATTGTAAATATACTAATTACATACAAGTGGTTCCAAAGTCAAATAAAATCAAACTGATCTCTAAATTGAATGCTATTTTCCCCTTTTATTTTTGACTCATGCATTTCATGTTTCATATATTTTGTGTTATTTTTTTATTATTTAATGCTTTGCTTTGATATGCTTTGATGTGCTTTTCCCTCCCCTGCTGCATTATTCACTCGTTATCTTCTCTGCAGTAATAAAATATTAAATTTGACTTGTAAATTCAAGTATGTATATATATATATATATATATATACTCACCGGCCACTTTATTAGGTACCCCATGCTAGTAACGGGTTGGACCCCCTTTTGCCTTCAGAACTGCCTCAATTCTTCGTGGCATAGATTCAACAAGGTGCTGGAAGCATTCCTCAGGGAGTTTGGTCCAGATTGACATGATGGCATCACACAGTTGCCGCAGATTTGTCGGCTGCACATCCATGATGCGAATCTCCCGTTCCACCACATCCCAAAGATGCTCTATTGGGTTGAGATCTGGTGACTGTGGAGGCCATTTTAGTACAGTGAACTCATTGTCATGTTCAAGAAACAAATTTGAAATGATTAGAGCTTTGTGACATGGTGGAAGTAGCCATCAGAGGATGGGTACATGGTGGCCATAAAGGGATGGACATGGTCAGAAACAATGCTCAGGTAGGCCGTGGCATTTAAACGATGCCCAATTGGCACTAAGGGGCCTAAAGTGTGCCAGGAAAACATCCCCCACACCATTACACCACCACCACCAGCCTGCACAGTGGTAACAAGGCATGATGGTTCCATGTTCTCATTCTGTTTACGCCAAATTCTGACTCTAACATCTGAATGTCTCAACAGAAATCGAGACTCATCAGACCAGGCAACATTTTTCCAGTCTTCAACTGTTCAATTTTGGTGAGCTCTTGCAAATTGTAGCCTCTTTTTCCTATTTGTAGTGGAGATGAGTGGTACCCGGTGGAGTCTTCTGCTGTTGTAGCCCATCCGCCTCAAGGTTGTGCGTGTTGTGGCTTCACAAATGCTTTGCTGCATACCTCGGTTGTAACGAGTGGTTATTTCAGTCACTGTTGCCCTTCTATCAGCTCGAACCAGTCTGGCCATTCTCCTCTGACCTCTGGCATCAACAAGGCATTTCCGCCCACAGAACTGCCGCTCACTGGATGTTTTTTCTTTTTCGGACCATTCTCTGTAAACCCTAGAGATGGTTGTGCGTGAAAATCCCAGTAGATTAGCAGTTTCTGAAATACTCAGACCAGCCCTTCTGGCACCAACAATCATGCCACGTTCAAAGTCACTCAAATCAACTTTCTTCCCCATACTGATGCTCGGTTTGAACTGCAGGAGATTGTCTTGACCATGTCTACATGCCTAAATGCACTGAGTTGCCGCCATGTGATTGGCTGCTTAGAAATTAAGTGTTAACGAGCAGTTGGACAGGTGTACCTAATAAAGTGGCCGGTGAGTGTATATATATAAGCTGTCAGAAACATCTACTTGAACAACTTCTGTTAAAGTTCAAAGTTAAGCTCCCGCTTATGTGAAAATGGGATACAGGACTGTAGAGATTCACACTTAAATTGAGCTAGAATAATATCTGAGATGAAATGGCAGACTGCCCTGTGCTTTGTTAATAGCTAGTTTCCAGGAAATATTTTTATAAGAAAGGATATGTTTAAAGATAACATTTAAAATTGAATTGAATTGAATTCTAATAATTCTGCACGGTCCCTGTCTTTCTGATAAAGAAATTGAGATGCCTTTTTCCGTTTGAGGCTGCAGAAAATTATTTGGAGCACTTTACAAATTTTAATTAGATCCTGATTACAATTTAAAGCATGACTTTATCCTGATTTATTTAGCCTTGAAATGTGTCATTTTGGTCTACAATAGAAATTATTATTATGATTTTTTTATGATTATAATTATTTTTGAAAATGCTCACTCTTGACCTTCTCTTATAATGCAACAGTACTTTTGAGTTTACTTCATAACTGGACTGTCATTTATAAGATGAACCTGGTCTAAGGTTTTAATTCCACATTTTTAGATGCATATCTTGGGGTATGATAAAGCATTGGGGTGTTTAAAGTATGTTAAGACCTTTCTTATTCATATTTATTTTATGTTTGAAGAATAGCGATATTTGCTAGACCACATGGTGGTGCTATAGTCTTAAACAATGAAGGTAATCACAGCCATGTCAACATGTTCCTGTTTGCAATGTATGACATATTATTCATAAAGTCAACCCCAAATGAATGCAAATGTTATACTTGTTCTTGCACCAGTTCAGAATATTATGTGCATTCATATGAGTAGTAGATCATAGGACAACTGACAAGAGATGATCACAACTGTAACAATTAGTGTTGGACAGTAACAGTCAGCGTATCATAAGTGTCTTTAACTCAAACAGTCCGACATCCAGACTAAAAAATGACGTGAAATTATGCCTAT